CGAAAACGTCAAACGGCGTCTCTCAGAGCTTCGTAGGGAACTCTGATAGCAATAGCCGCATACCTGATGGACCGTCCATCATCAATATGTGTGACTGCACGCGCAACATCCTTAGCATTAATTCCGTAAAAAGTAAACAATGAAAAATCCTTTATCCTTGTTTTGGATTAAGGATTAAGTGGGTTTACCTCTAATGATATTCCCAATTTAAAGCATAGCATAAATAAACATTTATTGGTAAAAACAATAAGACAAATTAAGGGCAGAATTTTCTTTTATCGAGAAAATGTAAAAAAATCAATTGGGTAGAATTTTTCGCCTGTCAGTGTATATACATGGAAACAAGTGCAACAACATAGGTCACTCGAAAATCTCACAACTATTGAGTAAGGTTAACGGTCAATGATTAAGCGTTAGTGATAAAAAGATTAAAACCCCTTCGGGGAGAAAGCACTTTCATGTTGTCACCCCTTGTGATTATAATTATAGTCTGGATGATAACCATCGTAACATAGACTGCTACACAGATGGATCACTTATCAAAGGAAGAGGGAGTGGTGCAGGAATCTAAATACCAAAATTAGGAATCAGCATCTCCTCCCCTCTTGGCAATAACACCTCCGTTTTTCAGGCGGAAATCTGGGCCATCAATGTGTGTTGTAGAACACTTATGGAAAATAAAATTAAGGGAAAAGATATTAAAATCTTTTCTGACAGTCAGGCTAGTCTTAGGGCATTACAAAAAGATTTGTCAACCTCACGAGTGGTGGAGGAAACTATAGATCTTATCAATAGGATCTCTTTCAGGTTTGAGAATAAGGTGACCCTTATTTGGATACCAGCACATAAAGGACACCATGGCGATGAATGAATGAAAAGGCGGATGGCCTAGCCAAAGAAGGTTCTAATACTGCGTTTGTCGGGCCACAACCCGTATTACCTCACTCTATGAGCACAGCGAAACAGAGTATCAATAACTGGGGCATGAAACAATTCTTTAGGGAGAGGAATTTATCCCCCGGACACAGGCAATCGAAAGAGTTTGTTAAGGCGATCAAACCAGCAGAATCGGAATGGCTATTCTCTATCTCAAGGAAGGGAATTAGGAGGCTGATAGGTATTCTGACGGGCCACTGCCTACTGAGAAGACACCTCTTCGTAATGGGTATCCTACCAGATCCCTTTTGCCGTTTTTGCGAAATAAAAGAAGAAACGGCAAGGCACTACCTCCCAGAGTGTGATAGGAATGCTAGGTCTAGAGTTGAAATCTTTGAAGGAGAGGACATCACCAAATCACTCCCCGAAATAAAATGGTCCAAAATCTTGGGGTTTGTGAACAAGTCCAAGAGGTTTATGCAGGACACGTGAACCGACCAAGTACATTCTTTACAACATCCTATAAAGTCTCTCTCTAAAAGAAATTTAAAAATGCAAATAAAATGATCGTACATCTACTTGATAAATTACATTTCAATAAAACAAAAAATCTATCAAAACTGAAAAAAAATGTTTTTCTTGAGAGTTAATTGAAATTTTACCATCCTTACGTGGATCAAGGTGAACCAAAAGGGATTTGATATATGACCGAAATAAATCAACATTCGAATAATATAATAATTGAAAATAGATTAATTTACTATTTCCAGTGAAATTCGATAGAAAACACAAACCGAGATCATTTTAAACTAGTAAAAAGTCAAAAATAAAACATACCTTATAAATATGATATTCACCGCCTCGACCGGGGAGTTAACAGTAAAATGGCGGTAACGTCGTTCCACGAGCAGGTATTTTAATCATACAATAATGTTCAACGTAATGGAAAAAAAGTTGGTAAATGTTTAAAAATTATGTGAAACGTAAATAGAAGATAGTTTTTTGCCCGTTTGGTCGAATTATTTTTAAAATGTAGGTATAACTTAGTTCGGTCGGGATAATGTTAATCAAGCAGGCCGTGATCAGATAAGGCATCGATATCACGTTTAAAATATAAAAGTTTGGCACCACTTTGTACTGACAACATGGTGTTTGTTCGTTCCTGGGATTCTCTTTCTCATTGTACAACAGGGACAACCTTATCTATTTCTTTTATTAATATTTTTCTTTTGTGAATCTCGCAGCAGTCCCTATTTTGTATTAATCCATAGGATACAGAATTCACCATGGAAGTGTTTAAACTGTCCAGGCCCAAATCCTGCATACAACAGAAATTTTCCATCATATGAAAGAAGAGTAGAAAACATCCATACAATTGAGAGAACTTAATTCAAAAATGCCGAAACTTTACTCCAAAACCACCTTGTTCACCTTGAGTCATGCGGGAATGGTAAAATTTCAGTTTACCACTCAAGAAATGCATTTTTTCCTATTTTGATTGATTTTAATGTTTTGTTGTAATGTAAAAGAGGATACATCTTATAATGAATCCTTAATGAGTTCGAAACCTGTTGGAACAATACTACAGGTATGAGGCATGCAAAGGGATTCATAGAAGGGCCATCTGCAAAACTTACAACGGAATTACTGGAAGGCAACTGCAATCAAACCAGGATTCTGGATGGACTCCTGACAGGGCGCACTGCCACTTAAAAAAGCACATGCACTGGAAAGGGGAGCACAGATAGAAGAAACACTGCCAGGAAGAGGAGACAGCAGAACACATTTTATGTTTCAGTGGTCTAGGTAGGTGGAGGTTCTTGCAACTAGGAAAAACCACGAGCAAGATGCTACACTAAGGAGCGAGCTGCTGGCAAGGCTATGGAGGTTGATTAACAACCTGAAACTGGCAAGTGAGTTATACACACAGAGGACTACAATAGATCTACTCAGGTCGCGGTGCAGAAGGCCTTGTGGCCGCCTCTTTTATCCACATCCCTATCCCATCCTAAGTACATGTTTCATCATTTTAATTGCATTTATTCTAAAAATGGGTGTCTGATTTTATTAATTATTGTTGTGTGCCCAAAACCTTCAGTTCCCCATGTAATTTGTTTTTGGGGCCTAAATGATTTTTTTTTTTCGTTTTTCCTTCTATATTTATAGGATATCCTATATCCTTGTATAAATCTAATTGAAGTAGGTTTTTGAGCAGTGTTTCTAGTACATTTGATGGGGCCATGTGTTGAGAAAGATGTTGAAAAATTGATGCGCATTATCATAAAAGGAGGGGTCAGTTCTGTTGTCCTACTTCTTGGTCTTCTTGTTCGATGAACCACTGTATGGGCTCAAGCAAGCTGGTCTTCTAGCTGTGGCATTGTCGTCGTCGTCCCTGCAGATACAAAAGCCAGGCTTGAGCGATTGGCAAAATAACACTGGGAATAGTTGGTGAATGGTGCGGGTCAGTCAAATTGAGTTTAGTGGCCGATAAAATGGAAATGATATTACTAAAGGGAAACTTAACAAGCATTCACCACTATTTATAAAATTAGGTAACCTTATCATAAGTCTCAGTCCACCACCATCAGTTGCATACTCGGGAATACAAACGGCGGCAAGTATGCGCATCAAAAAAAGAGAGGACATTGAGCATGTATGCTGAGGTGGTCACATGGAGAATTAGTGCAAAAAGGGAGAACTAAGACCCACACGTAAGCAGGAAGTATGGCACCACACCTTCAATGACCAAAGGCTCTGGCAACAAAGCAATACATCCAGAGCATAATTATAAAAGAGCTTGAACGTGTAAAACGCAAAGGATATCTCGCCCCCGGATCCAGGAGTTCCAGTGGAGTGAGAGATGAACCATTTATTTTTTAAAAAAAGTATAAGGTTATACCTTTGTATAAGGCCTTAAAAAACGATATGAGATGCAGAGAAATAAAAGGAATCATCAGTGGGTAGTTTGTTTTGTTGAGCTTTGGTTTACCAGATATTGATACAGAGTAATTTGGGTCTTATTACAGCTGTATATAGCCAATAGGCCGTTTTCTTTAAGGACAAAATAAAAGTTTTCCGACAATTAATAATCACAAATAAAAAACAATAATATAAAATGAATATGGAAAAGAATTTTTAAAAAAAGTTTTTTTTTACTGACTTTATTCTAGAAATGACAATAAATTGCACAAATTATATTATATAAACAGAAACACCTTTTTATTCTTGCTCTTGGAAGAGTATTTAAATGAAGCTTACTTAAAAATATACAAATATCATCAAAACACAATGGATTACAAACTTTTTTAATTTATCGGTATGAAACTTATATTCAAGAAATTTTCCATAAAAACAGGTAATTCAAAACAAAGAATTATCTATGAACAATATGTTAACAAAAATAAATAGTACAAAAATAAAAATTATAATCAATTTCACATTCTCTTTTTAACAGCAGAATTTCACAGCACTAGTTAATACACTGCTGATATTTAACGTTGTCTAGCATCACTAAAGTAAATATAAATAGTTCTAGTTGAAAACAGCCACATTAATTACATGAAATAAAAAGTCAATTCAACATTATAAAAAGCAGAGAGCAAATTAGGTAAACTAGAATCTATAGAAGAGGTATCTAATAAGTTAATAGAGCCATATTTGTATGATTCTCAACAAGCAATGGCAAATACATAAATTTATTTTTTAAAAAAAGCACGGAATTAAACATTTTGTTTATGTAAAATCCCTACATAATTAATGCATATATACATCTAAATACTTTATGGTTATACTATTACATGAAAACCTATATTACTAAACTCACTTCAATGATGGGCGGGCAATAATGATATAATTTACAATGTGTTTTAAAAACAAACACTCTTTGGTATAAGTAGATTGCACATTCATACAAAGATCATAAGGAAATTCAATTATATGTTACAAAGGAAAGAATTTTCATTAACACACTTACTTAAAACTATATATCACAAAGTTATTTATACCATTTATCGTCAGACAAAACGATAAACGGTGAAATTATTGTGTCTGCCTTTCAATACCCACCTAAAACAAAAAGAAAAATAATTGAATTTATTGTAATCCAAAATACAATTTTTTCTAACCTTCACAGCTCAGATGTAATTTTTTTTATGATTCTTATTTTGTATTAGTAGGAAGGTCAATCGTTTGGCTATCAAGACTATAGCCAGCAATACTATCAGGACTCTGAAGAGAGATAGAATTATCCACCAAGCCTTTATTATCAAATTGAGTTGAGTCATACACATTATTGCCCTTTAAAAAAATAAATAAATAATTTCTCAAATGAATAAAAAAGTAAATATTAAAAAATTCAACTCTTTGAGAATAAAACTTAATATAGGGTGTGTACATAAGTTTTTTCACTTGTCAGAAAAAAGTAAAACTTTCAAAATATAAATCTATTTTTAATCCAAAACATTATTTCCTTTGTTTTTCTATAACATATTGTCAACATTCTGGGAAGAAAAATAACACCTTCCTGTACAAGAAGAAGTCTGATTTTCATAGCATTTTTAGACAAAAATTCCCTTTTGACTGGTTGTCTAGGAAGTGGAACAAGTAAAAATCAGAAGTGGCAAAGTCTGGAGAGTATGGAGGGCGGGGCATTTGTTGCCAGACTAACTCGGCGATTTTATTTTGAATGAGTAGCTGCGCGAGGCCTAGCATTACTTAGGCTGGATTTTTTCCTTCAATACTGACCCAAGACACTCTACCTGTATATATCTCTGCCGTAAGGGTTTGATTGCGTGGTAGTTCGAACATCCCATCAAACAGACAAAAGGACCTAATGAGAGGGCAATCCTGCTCGTGACAAGAATGGCAGCATTTTATTCTTCTTACAAATGGTCCTTCAGTCTTTAACATTTTTGTGAAGTGATGTCAAAGTTCCCTACAACATCACTAGCAGAACTGATTCATTCCTGTTTCCAAAGGTTAGTCTAGTCCCTTCTAATGCGCAAAACATTTTACATTTTCCCATCATATTACCCACAACTAGGACATCACTCATATAGAGTGAGACCAGCCATTGGCTGATTTTTCTTTATGTATCCACCGAGTGAGCAAATAGGAAATAAACCCTTCTGATTTATTTATTCAGATGTGAAACACTACAAGCCACGTCATCTTCCTTGTTCTTGAGGGGTGATTCATGCATTCCCCAAATTTCACAACGTAGCCTAGAGATCGATCGGATTCTTCTTTCTATTTCTGTGTCATCAGTTAATTTGTCCCCATCTTCCAATATCACTAATAATTTGTGCTTTAAGCTTGTTAGGCATTCCATAACGAGGCTGGTCTTTGATTTGTCAAAACTGTTGACTCACATGTTCTGTTACTTCATTAACACCATAAATTCCAACAGGCATCTGCTGTTGTACGCCTGAGATTGAACTCATATGAAATACTCAAATGAATTGAGTCACAGTTTATTCTAGACTAACTTTTAGGATCATCTACCCCTTTCTTATCAATCTCTTTTAATAGGGCTTTTCCCACACTAGAGCTAATCCCCTAGCAGGTAATAATGGATTACCATTATAAGGATGAAAGTCGAAATTTCAAAAAAATAAAACCTTATGCACACACCAAATATTTACCTGGTAAATGTAATCTGAATCTGTTTTCAAAGATGAAAATGAATGTTGATGTGGCAAAGAAACAATGTCGTCTTCCAATCCATCATCTACTTGTGCTTTGTAGGAAAACATGATGCTGGGTTGTGAAACTCTGCAATTTAAGTAACTTATATAGGAAAAAATTATATCTGATAAAATACTGTTGAATAAAAACTATACCCAAAAAATTCACTAAGGAAAGTATGATATACAAGTGGGGTGAATAATGTGAAATATAAACAAGTCGTCACGTCGACAACGCATAATCCCTCGTTAACCGAGTACAGGAGAAGGCCACTGCCTATCGATTGAGTTAAATTCAATAATACTAACATCATAATGTAAACATAAAATGATCGTTTACCTAAAACAAACAAATAAAAATAGAATATTTCATTTCCTACAGATAAAAAAAAAATTAAATAAGTACTTGGCAATGCGAGCCTCTCCCTGAGCCTCGTCCATGGTAGTATTAAGATTGACATATAAATCTGAAAACAATAAAATGTTTTTATCAGTATTTTTTCGTCACAAACATTATTTACCAACTTACCAGGGTGAAAACGATCGACGATATAAACCAAAAGAGCATACCTCCATGCCCGAACAAACTAAAATCTTTACCGTGGAGTTTGAAATTATTGTCAGGGTTGAAGATTTCAAGAGTCGCTTGAGAACTTGAGAATGCTAACGATATTAGAGAAGTAGCCAAGAGAACATGTCGTATACTGCTTCTTGAATCTAAATGGCCTAAAAGCATATCAATTATGAAACTATCATAATAATCAGTTATGTTGATGATTTTTAAAGAAATAAACAAACCCCTCCACTCTAAGCCATATATTTTATTTAAACCCTTAAATAATATATACAGGTGTCAGTGGCCATGACGGTTCAAATCTAGCGGTCTTGCATTCCACCTTGACATACTTACAAATAGGATCTTTTTTCCAAAAACACCGGCACCCCTAGGGTTCATATAACCTTGTAGTTGAAATACCCTCGTTTAAAATAAATTTAAAAAACCTTTTAAGCCTCATGTTTTATACTTTTCAGAAACAAAAACAGTTCACATTAACACTATGACTTCAGGAGGTTCCCCTCCTTCAGCAGTTTTGTTGTTGCATGTTTCTACACGGTCACCAGTTGCTCGTTTTTACCCCGAGATCAACAGGCTTTGTATATTCCCTCTGATTCCCCTCATCCTTGCTCTTTTCTCTCCTGTGGACTCTGCCACTTTCTTTCATTCGAACTCGCTTAGTTCCAATCACTGGGCCTTTAGAACCCAGGCCATCTAAGCCATGGTCTGTTAAGCAACAAACTTTAACAATATTTCTGATTTTGAACACAATTTTTTTTTAATTGAGATGAGGCGGCCTTAGTTTTTAGGACAACTCTGGATAAGACTATTTAATTTTTGATTTATTCATTCATTTACAAAAAAAAAAATTTCAGGGTTATGAAATTATGTAAATGAAAAGACAAACTATTGAACCTTCTTCGTTTTTTTATTTAACTTTATTATTGGCAATAATAGAAAAAGGTTGAACATTTTGTCATTTATTTCATATAACAACCCTGTAATTCAATCAACCTTTACACCTAAGGTGCTGGCACACCAAAAATCAAAAACCCGCCCAAGTTTTTGCATCAAATTATGAGCAGTAAGATAAATTTGGTGAGCGCAAGCAGTGAGCCATGAAAAAAGGTGATTCATTTCACTGAGAGCGGTTTTGATCCGATCCTTAAAAAGAGTAGTTTTTCCTCTCTTGAAATACTACATTTTTTTAAACTCTTGCCCCAAATGCAGACACCTCTGTTTAGGCCAAGAGTGATCTTTATAGGAAAGTTTCCCTATATTCGCATATGATTAAGTGCAAATTATTTAAATAACATGTAATATAGTTAACTACAAAATAACATACAATTCAGTAAACAATAGTGGAGATAATATGTAAAAAATAAATTAACATACCACAAGCTAAGCCGAATACCACAACACTGATTTCAGTTGAAAGGAGGAAAAATCTCACTGAAACCCAAAGAATGGTATCAACATAATTGCCAACCATCTCTGTCGCATTTACTGTCATCGACACGATGCATCTCAATAAACTTATTACGACATTTATTACAACCTGAAAATCAATAATCTGTTAGCCATTGTACTAAGGAATTGACATTTCAATAGGTCCTAAGTTAAGACATTTCAACAGGCAATATTTATAAGATTTAATGTTTAAACAGTAATAAATGTCTAACTGAATATAAAACAGTAAAAAAAAATCACAAGCTTAAAAAAAAAGTTTTCACTTACAAGTCCATAAAATGCCATAAATATTGGACTAGATGTAGCTCTTAACTTAAGCCTAGCTCGATTGAATCTTACAGCGAGGAATATCAAAAATAATATGTTTGGTATAAACATCACTAAATCCCATACTTGTATTCTAAAATAAAACAGATAAATGTATTAATCATAATCACTACATAAAACATATTTATTACACATATATTAATTATTTTCAATTTATTATTTTTTAATGGGTGGGCTACTGACAATAATCATATAAGCCACCAATGGGCTTTCCATTAAAAATCATAAGGGGCCCTGACAACCCACTCTCATGCCATAGGACCGCGTCTTTTTATTGGTTGCCATGCCTACTCGCTCCTTATAAGGGGCCACAGCATAGCACTCCTCAACCAAGTGTGACACACTGAACAACCTTTCTCTATAAGCATTGGGTTTTCCCAAAAAAGCAGGTGTTCATCAGTCGGGTATGGCCAGTACTCAAATGAGCGAGCACGATCCGTTCCTTGCATTTCTGACCATCGATGAGCCATCGCTTATTGACATGCAAGAGCTTCTTGGATGACTCTGCATCGATGCTGCCAACGTTCTTTTATTGTGTAGTTTACTATTCATACAGTACCCAGATGACTAATTCTTTTTCTGAAGTGCTCCAACTCAGCATATCTCTATAGCAAGAGCTGTTCTTCATGGTTAACAGATGATTCAATATCTTCTTTTAATTAACCAAATTGTAAATTTGGTTTTTTGGGTACGCTGACTTTTATTTTTATTTTTTGTTATGAATACATTATATGTATTATGGGACTTCCTTAACTCCCAAAAACCCATATTTACAATGATATTACTGAAACATCATTGATCGATTAAAAAGAAACAGGATTAACAATCACAATGACAGACCAGAACAATTTTAAAAAAAAGATAAAATTAAATATCCAACAAAGGCATAGACAAAGATAACACACACACACACACCACCTTCTCTTTTTCTCCCTACTCAGAAATCAACTTGCACAGGTGTCCCTAACCCTCCCTAACCAAATTTTACTAGCCCAACCTAACTTAAGGTTGTAACCTTAATGGTGATTAAGCCGTAAGTCTATAAAAGTCGGTGGTGCAGCTTGGCCCTATCAGAGTGAAGCCCCCTCAAAACCCTCCACAGTGGCAGCCCTAGGACTGGAAAGAACGGCGGAACCCCACGGATCTCTCATAACTAACGCTTGTAATTTTAATATTGTGCGCAAGGCTTAATTTATCGAGAAGGGGTCGGTGTCTAGTCGCCATCAACACCTCATCTAAGCTACTGTAGATTCCTTGATCTCATAGTCCAGGGAGACATCCTTCAATCCTGCCCAAAACCAACCAAGTCGAGGCCCCGGATGGGCGTCACCACAACCAAGCCCTGTCACACCGCCAACATGGGGTACCAGCAGAGGAAACAAGAGTTGAGGGGATAGGAAATTCAATTTTGTCTATTAGTTGGATGTCTATTAAGAAGTTAAAAAGTTGGTTTATTGATGTTTTATTTAGTGCCGATCGGAGGTCTTTAGAGATTTGGTGGAGGGTTCTTGCAGAGGTGGATAAAGGACAATCTATTAGGATGTGGGATATAGTGATAGGAGATGTACAGATTGGGCACATAGGTTTAAGGTTCTTTCAAGGAGGAAACTATGAGTAAGCCAGGAGTGGCCAATTAGAAGCTGGGTTAGGAGGGTTTCTTCTTTTAGGGAAGATTTGAAAGTGGATTCTCACTTGATATCTTTCTTTATTGCGAGAAGCTTGTTCCTGTGCAAGCACCCCTTTCATAATTCCGAGTCTCCCAGACGAGGTGCCTAAAGTGACAGCAGAGGTCACTGAAGGGAACCCCACTGTGAGTTATACCATTTGAGGTGGCCTCTCTTGCCATTCTGTCTGCCTTTTCGTTCTCAGTTATGCCAGCACAGCAAGGAACCTTTGACTAATACTTTTACGCCTATGTGTTGATATTGTTTTATTCTGTAAAAATATCCTGGATGTCTAGGTTTAAAGAAAGTATGTTTTTTAGTGTGGTGAGTGCTGAAAGAGCATTGGAACATAATTAGTGTGGCATGGGTTACATAAATGATGTTAATAGCTTTGTGTTTAGCTAGGAGTTCAGCAGTAATAACTTGACAACAGCCATAGTCCATATAAGTTTAGAGGTCATAATTGGCCATATTAATTATTTCAATTAAATATTTTTTTTTTTAGTTTAAAGTCTTGCTTCATATGGAAAAGTTGGTGTCACTACCAGGATTCGAACCCATGGTGTTTTATGGTATGGTAATGAGGAGACTAGGAAGCGGGGTTTGTGCTCCCCAGGCACTGCAGCCTCCTGGCTTATTGTACCATCGTAGTTCCCTAAGTTCAGTGCAATAGACTCAATCCTTCTTCTTAGAAATATCAGGTCATTGACTGTCCCTGCTACAATTTCATTCCCCAGATTTTTTTTTGTATGTTAGCTCTAATCTCCAATGAGATGTTGCTTCACATTCGAAGATGATACAGGTAACATAAATGATGTTAATGGATTTGATTATAGCTAGGAGTTCAGCAGTAATAATTAACATTAACCATAGTCCATATATGTTTAGAGGTCATAATTGACCATATTAATTACTTCAATTAATTATTCATTTTATCTGAGGTCTTGGTTCTTCTGGTAAAGAAAAGTGTCACTAGCGGGATTTAAACCCATGATCTTCGGTTCAATACGTCACTTCTCTAACCACTTGGGCTATCATGATAAGAGTGGTTAAAGAAGTGACGTATCGAATTAAAGATCATTGGTTCAAATCTCGCTAGTGACACTAACTTTTCCATCTGAACCAAAGCCTTAAATAAAGAGAATAATTAATTGAATTAACCTTAGTTTTTACCCAATCTAACCAAACCCTAACCTTAAGTAACCTTCTCTTGCCTAACTCCTCCCGAACCCTAACCAAACCTATCTGGTTCCTAACCCCTAGAAAGGTGTAGACCTGAAGGATACACACACTAGTCATTGAAAACGCTTTCGGATCTGGTGAAAAGCCTTGAGTTTAATGAAATCTAGACAATAATGGAGATTGCACGATAGACCCAATACTGGTCACATTCGTAAACAGGCGCACTCCTTTATTAATCTTAATCAGCAGGATTGAACAAAAAACTTTACAACTCCATATGGGAAAGAAAAAAAAATTAATCTCTCACTCAGATGACTAAAAGTGAAAACAAGAATAGTTCTAAGTTGGCTAATTAGTCATGATTTTTGTTCGTACTAGTTTTATTGGTTTTATTTTGGTTTACTTGAAAATTGTCCACTGCAGTATATGACTGCACGTATTGACATTAAAGTACAGAAATATATTATTTTTCATATGGGACAATAATTAGATAAGCTTGAATATCCGAGAAGTGAGGTTTATAAAGGTGATCAGCATTTTTACGATATTGTGATGACTGTTTCAATTTGGCATGTTTTAGAAAGTGTTATTGAAAAAGAATTCACTTTTCCGGATTTTCCTCCGTCCACGGAACGCCACCTCCAAGGACGGGTTTACGTAACGCATTCGACATTTCTACGCTTTCGCCGGAAATGAAGAGACGCAATACCTGACGACGCGTGTGACAAAAGAATCGACGATATTAATCAAATCGGGGCCAAAACAAATGACGGTTTTCCGTCTGTAATAAATTTTCCCGTGTCAGGTAACAGGCTCACCTGGAATTCGGCACTTCAATATACAAAATGAGTTTGCAAAAAGCTTCCTGGCTCGGTAAGGACTGAGTGCCGTTTTGAGGTGCGGCCGTAGGAAAAGACGCAGTCGCTCTGGTCGCGTAGCCGGCTGCCTCTGAGAAGACCATCGTCGAAAGACGAAAAGTCCGCCCGGTTGAAGAGTCGTGAGTCGTGAATGTAGCGGACGGCCCTGGAGACTGGAGGAAAAGAGAGACAGACTCTATGTGGAAATCGACTGCCAACTACATAACGCCGCCCCGCTTTTTGTCCGGATCGCCGCTCCTCCTTTCCGATTAACTCTTTCGAACGGGAAAAGTCGGCCGGACGAGATTTTTAAATTTGCAAACGGATCGAATTAACATTGTTTATTTAGGTCAGCTGTTGGACTGGAGAAGTAGAGTGTGAAACAGCTGTCGAACGAAAACTGGAGATCGGGACGGCCGCTGGCGCCCGGATCGATGACGGAAATCGATTTACGTCGAAAGACGACGATCGAGATTCTCGCCGCATCGCCGGATGACTCAACGGAAGGAAGACGAGAAAACAATACTAGTACAACATCATCTGAAAGATAAGTTTACGTTTTTTCTTTCTCATACAGAATTGTTAGGATTGTCATTTAATCCTAAGATTAAGATTAAGAATAAAAAAGAGTCGGTCTCTTAACGACCTGCTACCAGTATTATATCATATTACATAAACTGCTTAAAAATGATGTCAATTTTGTAGTATTTACTTTCCCTAGGATTTTTATTTTATTGTCGTTGTAAATTGCATTAAAATTTGTTCGAAATTATTGTTTTTTACTGAAGGAAAATTTAATTAAGGGATTTTGAAAAATAACAAAAGTAATTCCATAATTTTGTTTATTGGACACAATTATTTTTTTAAACAATTAATACCGTGTATAATATCCTCTGCACACCTGTTAGGCATTCCATTAATAAGGCTGTCACTAATTTAACACGCAACTTCACTCTCTAGATGTTGCAACGCTGCACTCAGTTGTTACAGGTTAACTGGCTGCGGATGGTGATTGAAAAGCCTTCTCAGCAATGCAACCCACATATGCTCAATGGGATTGAGGTCTGGAGACAATAAGGGAAGGGGAAGATGGGAAATTCCCAGGTTTTCTAAACACTGATGAACAATTTTGCCTCTATGAGGTCTGGCATTGTCATTCAGAAATCAAAAATCCCTGCCAATAAGATCCCTGGTTTGAGAGATGTATTCTTTGAACATAAGGGACTGCGGTGAGGTTGCCTTCAACAATATGGAGTCCAGTTCATCATCCAATGTAAATCCCAACCCAGAACATCACACCTCCTCCTCCAAACTGACTGAAGGTAGCACGAATTGGGCATTGTACGCATCCCCTGTACACGGTACACTCTTCGGCGCCTGCTATCACTATACAGACAGAAACACAGCTCATCTATAAACACAGCAACATTCCAATTGGTGTTCTCTTCTAGGCACTCGCTGCACCATATTCTCTTGAGTTTCTGATGGCAGGCAGTTGCTGCAGGTCATCTTAAAGGGGCATACAATGTGTAGCCAACTTCCCAAAGTTGATGCCTTGCCAAAACATCTTGTACTTCATTTAGGATTTGGCGGGCATTATGGAAAGGGTTCCGTCTTGCAGTAAAGACAATATTTCTGATTTCCCTTAGCATCATAATGCACTGAGATGAGAGATCTACCAGGCCTTATATTGGCACTTGCAGTCTCTCAGAATGGGGCTAAAGCTCGGGGGACCACACTCTGAGAAACGCAAACTTCCTCTGCAATATCCATTTGCCAGTGACCTTGACTACTCTTTCTCACAATGATGTTGAGAACTTTTCGTTTAAGATGATGCCTTTCCAAGGTCAAAGAGAATACAACTAGATTAAAACGGAGATTAAAATGAGTAATCTTCATGTTTACTATTCTTAAGTAAATCTGTTACTAAAAATGTGATTAATATTTGTTTACTTTTGGTTTGTATTTTCTATATTGCATTATCCAACTAACAAGAATATATCAGTTAACTTAATTAAAATTACTACAATAAGAATAAATTACAAATATCCCTATTCATTTTTGAGCAATTTAATCTTCTTGTTAAACTTAAGAATTTGTTTAGGTAGTGAGGAGTGGTCAGGAATTAAGTAATTTCCTTTTTCATTTTTTGCGTTTCGACCTTTATTGGGGTCATCTTCAGGGCCTGGACGAATTTCAAAACACGTGTTGATTGGAAAAAATAATCATACAATACAGATGTAAATATTATAATTTTTGCACCAAGTATTTCATACTCATATAAGATGTGAAGCTATACTTGTGGTGTCATATTTGTCCTGATTTGTGAAATTGTTGTGAAACGTTAATTTATATTCTGCTGTTTTTATATGATTGTGATATATCATATCAATATAATATCACAATCATATAAAAACAGCAGAATACAAATGCACATTTCATAACAAATGAAACAAATATCACACCACAAGAATAGCACCTCACTTTATGTGAGTATGAAATACTTGGTTCATAAAAAATAATAGTAAAAAAATTAATGGTAGCGTGGTCAGTCTGATAGACTTTCGCTTCGTTCAGTTCCCACCGTCACCCCTGGTACTTTTTTCACCTAACCCTTCCCCCCTACCATATATGATTAAGTAATCAACAAAATGTACTCTGGCTAATATGCAAGCTCATAAGGCTATAAAAAATTATATTACTTTTGTATTGTATTTTTTCCAGTCAGCATAATTATGTTTTGTACTTCACCCAACCCCTGAATATGACCTGAATAAAGATAGAAACGTTGGCAAAAAAAGGTGTTTTTCTAAAATTCATTCCTGACAGCATGAAAGTCACAATCATCGGGCATTGGGTTTAGTTAACGTTTGAAATTTGGTCTAAAATTTACTTTCTCATGCAGGATGATAAAGCCATCTAGTTTGCTCGGATTAAATCCCATGCATCCTATTAGCTATAATGAGAAAGTAGTCAAACAAAAGAAGCAACTTACCTTGGTTAAAGGTTAAAAGGAGTCGGCCTCTTTAAGACCCACGCACTGTGACCTTCATTAAGCTGGCATTTACCAGGCTGGAATACAATCTCATGAACCAAGGAGTTAGTTTTAATCCATTGCCTGATGAATCTACTCTTTTTGGTTTGGCATGCCACGAAAGGGTTCAGGGCCGAGAGGTGTCTTATTGAATTTTACTTGGCCAATTTATCAGCCTCTTAATTGCCTCTCTGCCCTATGTGCCCTGGTACCCAGACCAGGCTATGTTGTCTGACAGGGCCCTTATATAATCCCAAACAAATCTGGACTTTACACCCAATGAGGTATGACCATACCAAGATTCTTTAAAGTCTTACTTCTAATCTTGGAAATATGATCACAAAAATTACATTTACTATTAAAAATGACACCTAAGTCATTTATTTCATTTACTTCATCCAGGGAATATGACCAAGAATCACAATCCTTCGGTTTAGAAGACACATTGAATTGAATGTATTTGCATTTTGATTGATCGACACACAAATCATTGTCACAATGCCAGGTAAAGAAAGCATTTAAATCTAATTGAAGCAATTCATAATCCACAATGGATGAAATATTGGAAAATAACTTTACGTCATCAGCTAAACTGGAGTACGAAGAAAAATGAAAAATTGATTAAATGTCATTGAAAAATAATATTTTAAAAAGTATTGGCCTAAGATGAGAGCCCTGAGGGGCCCCCGGTAAGAATTTGAGATTAAAATGAGATGGAACCATTGTACACAACCCTGTAAGACCTTCCAATCAAAAAGGAGTCGTGTCAAGAAAGAAGAATCCGAAAGTTAACTCTGCAAAAACCTTGTACATCTCAGTGTAAAAATATGAACTCTGTGACCCAAGTCAAGATTTTTATTAATAAAATCATTGTAAAGAAGTAAGTTGGTTGAAGTAGAGCGCCCCTTGACAAAACCTTGCTCAGGATTGATTTTTTTTAAAAGTATCATTTACTTGTCAGCAACAAAAGAGTCAAGAATCTTAGAGATTTTGTTTATGTTAGCACTTATAGACAAAGGTTTTTCGAATATTTCCTGTCTTAGTTTTTTAGATGCTTTTTGGCTTCTCGCTATCTTCACTAGTAGAGGAATTATAAGGAGTGGAATTGGCAACAAACATATAACTTGTTCCCCACAAAATGGCTCGTTAATATTATTTATTGACTACACTTTTTTCTTAATTATTTAACTGAGCATAATTAATCACATATACATTCATATATATAACAAATTATTATTAATAAAACTGCTTAGTAGCAGATCACAACAATATAAAATGGCATTTTTTTTCATTAAAAAACTTTGCTTTAAATGAAACTACAGTGGTCTTGCTCTCTCAGTAATATGAACTAATTGCAGGGGGAGGGGTATTCAGATTATAAAGGGTGTTAAAAAAATACATACAAATGTACGAAGAAACAATTACAACACAACACTTTATCATTATTGCATACACAAAATATTAAATTAGATTTCTCTTAAAAAAATCAATCTTTTTTTAAATTTATTTAATAATGCTTTGTGTAGTCTGTTTCTCTCTGTGTAAACATAAAACTCGAAATGTCTCGAGCTTTAGAATGGACAAGGCATACATCCAACTGAACTGAATCCAACTGAATCACAGCTATTGATTTTTGTGGAATGCTAAAGGTAAGTCATTATAATAAGAACAATAGAGAGGACATACATGGAAGGAAATGTGTTTTCTTCATTTGTTTTACTTTTTGTCTCAAACAAAAAGTATCTCCATGATCACTAACACTGATGTTTGTGGATACCTTGACACAAGTGTTTTTCAATTGGTGTAGATATGAACAGCAAGCTTGTTTTGCACAAACTGATGGCTCACCTTGTTTAGATTATATGCTGCAAAATGTTTCGCCTCATGGAAATGATTAACTGAGACAGCCATTTCGCTGTGATTCTCACATTTAGTGATTTTCTCACTCTTCTTTCCTCTCCCCACAAATAATGTTTCATATGTTCTTTTAAAATTCTCATACTTTGAATTTTTTTATTTATGTAAAATTCTCATACTTGAATTTTTATAATTTATTGGAATGTTCAAAGTACCAAAGTTCAAATTAGGGAGAGAGCACTGTATGTAGAAAAAACTCAACTAGTTATTAATGACATAGACAGTGTATAATTTGTAACAAAAATTCTAAAATAATCAAACTGACATATGTAATTTATAAGTTTTATGCCATAGAAATATCACTGATGATTAATTTAAAAAAAAATTATAAAGAATAACAAGGTCACACAAGAATAAATAATTGTTTGAAAATTGGAAATTTCATATCATTTGATTTTCACGATGATCACTGCAGCACAGCCACTTGAGAATGTTTCCATTGCTCTCATCATTTCCTCCAAATATTGGACCCAATTTTGTTAAATGTAATAAATACATTAAGACAAGATAAAAACGAATATATTTGTTGTACACTGAATACCATATATTGTAATAAAAAATGATAATGTAAAACATACTTTAGGTAACTAATTTTGGAAAACAGTGGCAGAAATCATTTATCCTGAAACAATAATTGATTTTAGACATTCACAAAAAACGCCTTTTTTTAATAAGCGTAAATATGTAATACCAGGACAAAACATTATGGACAGGCAGTATCTGACCATCCTAGTCTCTCCATCATCATGTCTTTTTTTTTATAATTTTGTTAAATGTCAAGGGTCATGCCACTGTATATGTCTCAATGTCAACAGGCTTAAACAAAAATCTCACAATTCTTTAGTCTCTCTGTATTTCTTACGGATTAAGTCTGGATATCCCTTCTAATCAATGATTATGTTTAATTTCTTGTGAGATTATGTGTTTTTCATTGACTAATTGATGTAAGTGAATATTACATATTAACTACATATTATTCATAGCTAAATAGATAAGTAATTAATCACCCACTCACACATATTACTTGAGATGAATTGTAAATCCTAAATCCAAGGATTTATCTTCAAGGTCTTGTCGGAATATTTGGGCATGCTGCCAGTTGCTGCCTTTCTGCAATTTAACGTTTATCAAAATTTCTTCAACACCATCTTCATGATGTAAACTCATAACAGACTCTAAAATAAACAGACATTAAATTTCCATCAATGCATAAACTAAAAACACTGATTTATAAAGAAGTGATTGTTTTTATGATACAATAAAATAATGAATATATAAATTAGTACCATTTATGAAATTAGGATGAGCTACAGCTGACTGAGAACCAGAAAGGTGTGGATCAGGTTTATGTGAATCATTGCTTATTTTATCAATTTCTTTTTCAAAGCCACCTGAAATAAAAATATTAACATCTCTCCTTAGTTTTGTAAACATAATTGTTTTAGTAAATTGATTGTTAATATTTAATGTTATTATGGCTTGTCATTTTTAATTTTCATAAACTGTATTTCAAGACTATTTTAATTATTTATGATTTTACAATGTATCTTTACACATAGATATAACAAAACCAATCTAAATTTTTCCTACATTGTATTGTATATATGTGGCAGAATTTATGGGTCATTTGCATAAATGGTTTATCTGACTCTCTTTCTTGAGAGTTAAGATAGGTTCTTTTTTAATATAAAAAATTATAAGTAGTTACGGACTTATTTGTATTAACATGGGTATGTTTTTTTGCTGGATACACTATTCTTATTAAAATTTGATCATTTTGTCAAGGAGTGCATGTGGATTGGGTTAGGTGTGTTGGGTTGGGTTATGTTACGTTTAGGGTTACGTAGCATTAGAAACAGGTTAGGATTAGTTAGGTAGTGTTAGGGATAGGAGAGTTTAGTTTAGGTAAGGTTAGATTAAGTACAGTTTAGTAATAGGGACAAGTTAGGATTAATGTTAAGGATGGGTTAGATTAGTCAGGGTTAGTGTTAAGGAAGGTGTAGTTTAGCGAAGGAATGGTTAAGTATGGTACATCTAGTGTTAAGGACAAGTTAGATTAGTTTAGGTAGGAATATTAGACAAGGGTATATTATTAGGTCAAGAGTTATTGTTAGAAGTAGTGTAAGGTTAGATTAGATGGGGTTAGTGTTAGGACATGTTAAAAGTAAAGTTAGTGTTAGGTACAAGAGGCTAAGCAAGGCTTGTGTTAGAGACAGGTTAGGTTACGTAGGGTTAGGCAAAGGATGGTTAGTTAACTAATAGATTATAGAGAAAAAAATGCTTTGTACATTTGTTGGTTAAATATTAAATAATTTATTACATTTCTGTATTGAAATAGAAAACTTAAAAAATTGAATAATACTTTAGATAAATATCCTACCTGATGACACAGACCAAACCACCTCAGCATCTTCCAAGGCAAGATAAGAGCATTTAATAACAACTTTATCAATAAACAATCCAGATCCTGATACGTCTATCTTCCAAGAAATTTTCCCTTTATCAGAATTTTCTGCAAACAGAGAAAACATTAAAATAATATGAAAATATTACAAATTATTTATTATTATTTTTAGTACAAAAATAATATTTAAAAAAATTTAAAAAAAGATCTTGCCAACATCAAAGATTCCACAACTTTTGTAACATAAGAAAGGTATCTAAGTAAATCATTTGAAGTAATATTGTTTATAAAAAAATAATTAGTGGGGGAAAAATGTAAATTTTATTGTGATTGAGTACCTTAAAAATTAAAAGCGTATAAAAATTATAATAGCACAATTACCTTCTCTGGCTAAATAGCTTTTCATCCAATCAGATTCCACTTTGCGAAAAATATTGCCATATGAGAATACAAAATTCTCCCAACCATTAAAACTTTCGTCAGTAACGGATCTTTTATAAACATCCATTGAGCAGTTATATTTTATTTCCATGATCTTTCGGTCAACCTGAAAAAATCATGAACAACCATGACAAAAAAAAATTATTGCTTCCAAATCAAACTAATAATTTTATAATTGTATATCTAATTAAAAACAAAGTGTTTAGAAAGCTGAAAAAGCATAAAACCCTTGGGAAAAATAAAAAATCTTTGCCAGAATGAGTTCAACACGTATACAGTAATGTTAAAAAGGTTCCACTAGATAACACAACTTCCAATCAATATGCACCCTTCCCTCGATATACACGAATATGCGTTGTTCCAAGTGGATTTGATGTACGGGAACAAAAATTGTGTAAATTGAGTAAATATTGGTCAAAAAAGCTAGTAAAAGTTTTAGAAATACATATGTACATATTTATTTCACATAACTTAACAAAAAAATAATTAAGACATTTTAGAAAACAGAAGTATCTAAACTAATTAAATATTTATTGAAACAATTTATAAGTTTTTTTTGTCAATCAATGTCAAATGATCAGTTCTTTCTCCATACTTTCTATTTCAGGGTTTCTTGTGTATGATAAACACCATAAACTTGATAAGGCACCAGAGGCCGCACTACTCCTAATGTTTGCCTTCTTCCTGACTGTTTGGACAATGGATTCATTCATTCTGTACACCCTAGCAATTGCTGTAGGTTTTTCTCCTTCTTCAAGTCGATGGACTTTCTCTTCTTTCGTGTGATTGAAAATTTGTAGACATGACTGGGTTAACATTAAAAAATATTAATTATAAATTTAATAGTACAGTAACAATGAGTTCCTCTCAACATCAAAAGTCACACTGTTTGCTCCCGCACTATGGCCCAGCGGCCAAAGACAACGCCTTGTACAGGCCTACCGCAACAAAATTTCGTTCTGCATCACATGTTCCACCATTCAATCTCACAACATTGACTGTATAAAATTGTCAATTCTAAAATTTACACAAAAATATGTATGTACATATCTGGCCACATAAAAGAAGATCGCGTAAATCAATTCTACATAAATTGAGGTAAATTTGCCGTGTAAAACAAATACTCACATAATAAAAGGCCACGTAAATTGTCATGTATTAATATATCTATAATTCTATATATTCAATAACATGACGATTCATAGAAAAATAATTTTAAAAAAATTTATATATTATATATCTAAGTGTATATATTAAAAATTAGTAAAGTGGCTATGGTCCGTTGGTATGGGTTCTCCCTTAGGTAAGGTGAATAGGATAGGTGGATGAATATTTAATTTCACAATTAATCTTACTAATAACCACGACTTTGTTTTGTCATAAAATATTTTTCTTACGACTCTTATGTGATTTCAGAAAATTGTAATTAATTAAGTAAAGTGATGCCTTTAAGTAAAATAATTTTTATTGAAGGCACAAAACGAGCTATGCTATATATGACAATTATAATAACCTCGAGAGGTGTAGGGCTCCAACAATAACCAGAATTTATACATCCTAATTCACCCCTAGCCTTTCTCCACTCTTCCGAACCGGACGTCCGCCCAGAATAGGTACCATTAGATGATTGGGGTTCGCACATCAATTCACCGATTTCTCTTGCGAGGCGAGTTTGATAGAATTTAAGTCTGGAAGGCGACAGATTGTTTTGGCTGGAAGAACATGAAAGAACACATGAAAGTAGCACGCTCAGTTTGTTAGTTATTAAGTACTGTCCAATTTACGTTTCTATTTTATTATCATTATTTTGGCTATTCTTTTATTATAGTAAGCAAGTTTTTATATTGTTTATAGTGAACAAGCTTGGATATTGTTTACAGTGACTAAGGTTGTACATTGTTTTATCCTAATGCCCTTAGTCAATGACATGAGACAGATTGATTTAATTTTATTAAATTAAATTTAAATGCTCCAAAGAATTTACAAAAACGCATATTTTCTCCACTTCACACAAAAACATTTAAACATAGATATGCAATCTAAACCTACCTAACCTCTAATCCTATGTAACTAACCCTAACCCATCTCTAACTCTGACCCTAACCATAACTACCACTAACCCTGCTTAATTGAAGTATTCCTAGCTCAACTGAAAATATTTCAGATCTTTGAATGTAAAATACTTATCTCAAGCCCTAACTCTAACCATATCTTACCCAACCTAACCATTTCTAACCCATTTAATTATGGACACACAACCTAAATCTACACCTAACCGAATCCTATATAATTAACCCTAACTCCATCCCCAACCTAAACCTTGCCTAACCGAAAATATTTCAGTTAGGTTTGAATGAAAATTACTCATTCCAAACCATTACACATCACCTAACCTAACCCTTCACTAACCATACCTTACATATCCATTTCTATCCCATGTAATCATAGATATGTTAACTAACCCTTAACCATCTCTAATTCTGACCCTAACCCTAATCCACCACTAATAATTTAGATCTTAATACTGAATGTTTTTATGTTTCTTTTTATAATTATAGAAAGAGGTTTTCCTGAACTTATTTTATGGGTGGCACTGCAGTTGGCAAAGTTTCTGAAATCAACTATCTTGGCATGTGTGATGTGTAGTGACTATGAACTAACATTTAAAAAGAATATTGAACAAGTGGTTTCTAAAGGATACCGCAATCTGGGCTTTATTAAAAGGAACAGCTCAGACTTTACAAATTTGGAAATAATTAAAATTATCCTCTTTGGTATTGTTAGGAGTATTTTTGACTAGTACTCTTCTATTTGGTTTCCTTGGAATTTGAAGACTTATTCAATCAAAGTGGAAAAGGGCCAAAAAAAGGATTGTGAAATACATGGTTTTTAAAATGAGGCTCAGATGGGAGGAAAAGGAAATGGTGCTTGGGTTCAGGAGTGCCGACTCATGACCCTCTAGAATCATAGTTTGGTACCAAATGGTAGAGCAGCAGCGTATCTAGCCGAAGATCGTGGGTTCGAATCCCGCTCGTGTCATTGACTTTTTTATCTCAACTAAAAAAAACCTTAATTAATTGTAATATACTTAATAATAAAGAATAAAGAACACAAACCTTAGTCCCTAACCCTGGCTAACCTAACCAAAAATATTTCAGTGAGCTTTGAATGTAAAATACTCATCCCATACCCTAACCATACATAACCTAACTAAACCCGTCCCTAACCCTAACCATATATAACCTAATCCGTGAGCACTCCTCAGTAATGCAAAGTTTTGGGTGCCCAGTTAAAAACAATCTTCTATGTTCTAAAACTGATAGATCGTCATTGCAAACCACCACTTTTCACCTGACACTGCTTTTTAAAATCACAAAAACATCTTCACAGAAATAATATCTCTCTTACAAATGTATTATCAATAAACATGCAACATTTATTTAGTTGAAAACAACAAATATATAAAACAATTATTTTTTCAACATTTGGACAGGACTTAATTCTCAACTCAATACTTTATATGAGTACATTGATAAAAGGTTAGAAAAATATTATGTCCTTTACTTACAGTTTTTGTCGGATATGTAGTATTTTATCTAATAGCTGGCTTTCGAAATGTAAAGAACGTCTTTCCCTCAAAGCTTTATGGTTGCATGAGTAACGCCAAGACACATCTTGTATTCCCATGGGATCCATGGCGATTACATAACTAAGCTTTTTCTTCCATCCGAGTTCGTATAGTAACGGTTGGTCAACAACTGCTTCACATGAATCGACATGAATCCACCTTTGTTGCAATGTAGAGTAAATCTAGATCAAGCATATTTTCTTCTTTATGGATACTTATGGATTCATATTATTTATGGATAAAAAGAATTATTATAGGCAAAGATGTTTCACCTCTGTCCACACATGATCAGTCACATCATAGACAAATCTTGAGTCCCATCCCAAAGCTTTGCACATTAATGTGAAACACTGAGCCCACTCGGAACATCGCCCAGTCCTTTGGGTGAGAAGAATATCTGCATCACTATATCGTGGGAAAAGATAGGTCCGACTACATGTTGGACATTTGTAAATCTAAAAATTAATTGCCTATAACTCAGTTTATAGCTAATAGTGTAAATATGTAATAATGAAATCACTATAATAATAAATATGGTTTTTTAACTTGCCTTTACTTACCTCTACAGTCACATCTCCTTGTTCATGAAAATATGTTAACATTTTCTGTTTAAATACCGTCTTGAGGCTGCAGGTTTCACATTTGGGTTCATTGAACCATTTAAAAAAATCATTTTTAAACCATTTTGCGAGTTCTTCTAAAAATAGCTTCTCGTATTCTACACTTTCATCAAGTTGGACTTTTCCCTTGATCATGGCATTCTGCAACTGCCGCATTTTCCTTGAGGCTTTACGAGAGATGTCCCCTTTTGGAATCATGTCGAGTGCTTTCTGTTGTAAACTCGGTGAGTCATACTGTTGCACCATATGCATCATATTCATTACCATCTTCCAATCCATTTTGGCTCTGACTCCTTATCTGAAAAAAAAAATCAGCAAATTTTAATCCTCTAACACATTGACTCAAGACCTACTAAGGTCACAAATCTCAAATTCAACTTTAACAATATACCAGAAAGGAAAGACAACTCTTATGACTAATTCTTTCCAGTACCAACAGCTCAAGAGCCTGAGTTCTCAGTATAAATCCAAAGACTGAACTTACTACAAACCAGGGCAGGATAGGATTTTTCAATTGGAAATTATAGATACTTAACACGGTGCCAGGAAATAAAAGAAGGCTTGGAATCCACTTTATGAAGATAGCCATGCTATCTGACAATCAGGCAGCACTTAAAGCTTTAACCGTGCCTGCGAAATCAAAATATGTCTGATTGTATGGAATCTGAGTGAAAATGAAAGAGTGGGTGATACTTCTGTAGTGGAAACCTACAGTTACCACAGTACCCGTTAGGTGTCACTACCGGTTCTGGAATGGTCTCACCCTCCACTATGCAGAGACAGTGCATATATATTCAGGGGCACTGCCCCACTGGCTTCAGACTTGTCAACCTGATGAGGTCTCACTCATACCTCGAGATTTGTCTACCCGACGAGCTCTCACCAACCACTAATCGACAATAACAGCAGACTTGTTTCTCCGACGAGATCTCTCTTATCACTAATGAAGCACCTACGACAATGGCAAGGGTACTCTCAGCGTTAGCCTCAAACTTGCCTTCTCAACAGTCAACTTGACTACAGGCAAACCCCCGCATTCGGCTGACTGCTGCACCAGAGATCCCTCAACCAATGTAGAGTCAACCGATTCACTGCCCCGGAGCTCAGCCAACTGCTCTCTACCAACAAGCACACACACTCGGTCCCGGGTTCGATACATCGTCTCAATGCTTCCAAAACAACACCGGCCCTTGTCAGGGCCACCAAAAAAAACTCACTAAACTTCTAACACTGAACTGAAAGCCGATCGAGTATAGTCAGACCAACATCACTCAGGATCAAATTATAGTAGCAGAAATGTATAGATGGACCATCATAGTAGTACAGTATCTTCCAATTGACCATGGAATCAGGCTGTTCTCAGTCATTTGCTATCTGGCTACACTTCTTGACACCTATCAACTAGCCACCTAGTTGCCAAAGAGGCCTAACTGCCAACCTGCTATCATAATCCCATTATTAGGGTGCTACAGGCCTCCTTTCACTCTCAATTTGCTCATTCGTGTTGATTTCACAGAGCAAAAGCATTCACTGGCTGTAATTTGTCTCCTCCAATGATGTCACATTAGGATTTCATACCTAGCATAATTTTCATTCTATGATTCACTAAAGGGGGTAAAGTGTTAAATATCAACAACTTTCTAAGACAAAATGGGAATTTTTTTTTCTACTCACCCTTAATTTAGGACAATTATTTTACGGTGTAGTTAGATAATTAAAGGATTTATTCTGCCCGTGGGAATTGTGAGTTTTGTTTCCGATGGATAGCGGAGGATTTTGTTATTATTTATTATTTGTCTGTTTAACTCCCCCAATGAGAATGAGGTGAGAGGGCACAGTTCGACGTTATCACCGGCCGACCTTCTCAACTCATTGAACGAACTTGGCCATTTACCCCAATCAAACCGAGGAACGCTCACCGTCTACAATGGGAAAAGTCAAGGTACTTCCAATACCTAATAACCCGGTAGTTTTAATCATTTCTACTTTTCTTTTCACTGTTTAATAAATTGAAAAAGGTCACAATTTAAATTCCACAAGTGTCTGAAGCACAATTTTATGTACAAATACATTTAAATAATTAAGAAATTTTGATATAAATAAAAGACTTACGGTTTATCCTTGGCTGACGTGTGATAAGACAGCCCCCACCCGAGAGTTTAAATTTAGAGATTTGCGATTTTTCTTTAAAATGTTTAAATATTTTTAATCAGTTCAAAAGCTGATAAGAAAAGCTTATAATTGGATAGAAAACATCCGTTTTCGTAAACACGAAGGTAAAAAACAAGTCAAACTAGAGATGTTTAGTTGAGCGAACTAGAACTAGGGAATAGTCGTGCTATTCCCGAAAAAGATCCGTTCATTTTTTTTATTGAACTAATACTTCTTCATATTTTTTTTATTTTATTATATTTTTTCAAAATAAAGCAAGATAAAACACACTTTAATATTTTTGCTTATCCTAAAAGCATTGAATTATTCAGTTCGTTAGAACCAGTTCAATTTAATGAAGGAACTATTCCTCACAAGGAACGACTTGGCCCGTCAATAAATTTGTAATTAACCCTTTAAAATATAATTGTACAGTGTATATTTATTTATTTAGCTTTTGTTAATTAAAGAAATTGTCCATTGTTCGAATAGATTTAAAAATAAAATGTGTGGTGTTTAATTCATCGTGCCAATCTTTCGATCTTTATTGAGATCATCTTCAGGGTCTGGGATTTATAAACATTGTTTAAATTATACAAAAACATGTAGGTTGTATATTTGTATAATTTAAACAATGTTTATAAATCACACGCCCTGTAGATGATCTCAATAAAGATCGAAACGTTGGCACAATAAAGGAAATGTTTTTCTAAACCTACATCACACCATACCGCATCTCACGTTTTCCAAATAATCTTCTTTATCTTTATAATAAAGATAAACTTATTATCTTTATAGTAAGATACCCCCCTCAAAAAGCTTTCCCATGGAAAAAAACGCACAAAATCTACAGCAGCTGAATTTTTTAATTATTCTTTATTCTGACTGAAAATTATTGACTTGCGTTCCTTTCAATTACATTACTGCGTGACAGTTACAAAAGCCTCGCGTATTTTTAACTCTCTTCTTTCATCAATCTCCACTTTTGATTGATTAATTTATAAAGAGCCCAACTCTGCACATAATATACATAACTGTAGAATTGAACTTGTGACGTGTGGCTTGTCGTGGCCGATCACCGACTTCGGGGTTTGGGTAGTCCGGGTTGTTATACGCCTAATCCTATACTAACCGAACAATGACTCACCCCAACCTAGCAATAACTTTACTTAACCTAACAGTGACTCTACCTAACCTAACAAAACCTCAACTATAAAAGATTTGTTTGTTGTTTTCAACAATCCAGATTTCAAGCTTTAAACGCTCATCATCAGGGAAGGTAGTACAACACGTCATGAATTGTAAGAATGAAATCGACAACGCGACGTTCCAGTGAGAAACTTTGATGCCGCACAATTTTGAAAGTGCAAAAAAACGTGAATTTCAATATAACTAAGCATTATCCAAATAAATACTGTAAGAAAAGAATTTTTAATTAGTGGTTAACTTTTATATCAAATATTATTTAAGTAGATGTTTAAAATAGGAGGTAGATCAAACTGTATTATATTATTTATGCATTTATCTCCAAGTTTAATTTTACATTTTTTGTTTCAAATTTCTCAAAACAACCTAGCCCCCCCCCCTTTATTGAAACTGTGCAACAATGTTGTATTTAAATTGTGTTTTGTTTCCTTTAGAAGGTCCTTAAATTCAGAAAATTTGTTTAATTTTAGGAAGTGTTTTGTAATTCTCGTTTTAATTTCTCTGCCACTTTGTCCAGTGTATTTAATATCGCCATCAATTACAATTATACATACACCAGATAGGAGTACAGCCAGCAGAAACTCTGAAAAGATAGTGCCAGGAAGAAGAGGAGTCCGCAGAAACGTTTTATGCTTTTTTGAAAGTCTATGTATGTGCAGATTCTTGCATCTCAGAGGAAAAGCCCCAAGCAAGAGCACACTAAGGAACCGCTGTCAAGACTATGGAGGTTGAAAACAACTTATAGCTGGCCAATGGGTTATAGAATAAAACACTGGAGCACAATCAGAATTGGACCTACTCAGGTCGAGGTGCAAAAAGCCTTGTGGCCGCCTCTTTTATATCTATCCCTATCCTATACTGACCTAAAAATAACTACCTAACCCTGTCTTAACCTACGAATAAATCAATCTAACCCTAAAGCTTAACAGCTAACAATAACTTTTATTAACCAATAATAATTCTACTTAGCCCTTAACCCAACCTAATAATCACTGCAAGGTAAACATCCTGGGTTCGAATAAAGTGGTCCTGCATTCCAACCCGACATACTTACACTACAAGAAATGATAAATGGTGGAGTGAGTTGTTCAATCTCTATGAAAAGTTAGTTCTACTTACAGTTAGTTGTTTTCAATGATCCAGATTTCAAGCTTATAGCTTATCATCAGGTTGAAAGAATTTACAACCATGTCTCTCGACACAAGTTGTAAGAGTGATCCCCCGCCAACACAATGTTCCAATGAAAAGCTGATTTTTAATAAAAGTGTGAATTATAACACAACTAAATATTATATTAATTAATATTTTAAGAAAATAATTATAAATTAATGATTAATTTGTATCGATTTAATTAATTTATTGTTTGATTTGAAAATAATTTTTAAAAAATTATCCATTTTGGCACAAAGTTGGGGTAATAGAGACCCCATTGGTAACATTTTCATTTCATAAAATTTATTATTGATTTTAATTAGATAGGCTTACATTTAAGAGGTCTTACATTAAATCCTTTTTTACAAATTTGTTAATAGAATCCTATCCTAATAGAAGTTTTTGTTTTATAAGTGTTGTACAGTCATTAAATGACACTAAATTCAGTTTTAGGTATATTTATGTTTTTTAATTGTTTTATCAATACTAAAGAATCGTTAATACCGAATGTAGGTTTGAAATTGGTGTGAGCTTTAATTATTTTATCAATTCTAATCCCGAATTTTTGGCATGGAGAATTATAAAAGGACACTACTCGTCTCTAGGTAGGATTTCCTTGTAAATTTTGACTGTACCATATAACATTGGGGGTTTCGGGTTCCTTCAACCTGATGATGAGTTATAAACTTGAAATCTGGATTGTTGAGAACAACTAACTATGAGTAGGGAAGTTTTTTAATAAAGATTACTTGCACTGCTTTGTTCAAAAACACCAACTCCCTGAGGTTTGATATGTCCTTTGTGTTATGAACGCTTATAAAAAATAAATAAAAAAACTTTATTTAACCTAACAGTAACTCTTCTAACTCTAATCTAATCTAACAATAACTCTACCTAACTTTACCTAGCCCAACAGTAACTCTGCTTAATCTAACCTTACAATAGCTTTACCTAACAGTTACTCTATCATACTAAACTAAACTAACCTATCAATAAATCTACCTAACCTAACAGTAACTCACAGAAATGATTTAAGCTGAAGTGAGTACGGCAGTTCACTTTTGGAAAAGATAGTTCTACACTCAGAAGTAACTTACTGTAAAGTAAGTAGTACTTATGTGAGTTGAACTATATTTTCTAAAAAGTAACAATAACTCTGTCTAACCCTAATCTAACCTAACAATAAATCTACCTAACATTACAATAAATCTGCCCAATCCAACTTCATAATAACTTTATGTAAAGTAACTCTACCTAATGCTAAACTAACCTAACAATAACTCTACCTAACCCTAACCCTACTTAGTTTAACCCATGCACACTCCCTGGTAACGTGAAATTGATCAAGTAAAAACACATTTGTGTATTTTCACCTCCAAATGCGTTTTTAAGGCACTCTCACTAATTCTTTCCTATTTGCATACTATTGTCTCAAGTGGGGCGATGGAGTACTTGATAATTCCTCCATCTGTCCACTACACATTCACTCTTAATTTACTCAAAGGAAGACAAAATGAGTTATCTACCAAGTGCAATAAACGATAAAGCAAATCTATTTTCTCCAACAATCAGAAGAAGGGGTCCACAACAAATAATTTGATTTGTTCATATTTAAATATCTGGACAATATGTTCAATAAAAATAAACCACTTTTACTTTATTGATGATAAACTAAATTTTCTCAGATTGGTTTTATTGGAGGTTCAGGGTTAAATAACCCTGACATACTTAAAAATCCAATAGTGAGATATGTCGAAACTCCATTCGGAAGCCCGTCTGATGTTCTTATTGAAGGGAAAATATCTGGAGTTTCTTGTGTGGTCCTTGCAAGGTACGTTAAGATAATTTATAATTTAATAAATTTCTATTTATCATGAATACAATTAAATTATATTTTGGTATGTTTTTCAACAGGCATGGGAGGAAACACACCATCAACCCAAGTAATGTCAATTACAAGGCAAACATTTGGGCACTGAAATCTGTCGGTTGTACTCACGTCATTGTTTCAACAGCAACTGGCTCTTTAAAAGAAGAAATCCGTCCAGGAGATTTCGTCATAGTTGATTCTTTTATCGATAGGTTAGTAATGTATTGTTTTGGTCAGAGTGATACATATAATTTTGGATCTTTATTTTCTAGTAAATAACTACTTTGATAAACCTTTTTATAGGACCTATTCACGTGAGCAAACATTTTTCGATGGAAAAGGTCCATGTCCGCACGTTTGTCACATCCCGATGGAGCCGGCATTTTGTAACAAGACTAGAGAACTAATCATAGAGACTGCCAAGGAACTGAATTTAAGATTCCATCCAAATGGTGTTGCAGTCACAATCGAAGGACCGAGGTTTTCAACCAAGGCTGAAAGTGTTCTGTACAAGTCATGGGGTGCTGATTTGGTCAATATGACTTTAGTTCCTGAGGTATGACACTATGCAATTAATAGCTTATAAACATTTAATTTTAAATAAGTTATCTGTACAATGTATGTGTATAAGAAATTTTGTCTTGGCCTATTTGTACATATGTTGATCTTACACTTATTTTATTAGGCACCACTGGCAAAGGAGGCAGGATTGTGCTATGCTGCGGTGGCGATGGCCACCGATTACGACTGTTGGCACAACACAGTCGTTGATGTGAGTGAGGTAATGGCCACATTTAAAGCTAATGCACAGAAGGTGCAAAAGCTTTTCTGTGAGATCGTGCCAAAGATTGCAGCAATCGACTGGACAGATACTATTGAAAAATTACAGGTAATGGACAAAAATTTGGTTTTGACAGTCAAGATTTTTTCTCCTTTTTCAAGCTGTTGGTGTAAACAATTATTTCCTTTGCTTTTAAACATGTCCTGTTCAAGTAAACTCATGTTTACCACTAACGTCTTTTCTTCGCTTCATGGAAAAATATTGAATCATGGACATGAAATAATTAGTTCACAACTCAAAACAATATACTTCCTAAACAAATAATATTTCTTCCTAAGCCTAACCCAAGAATAACTACCTAACATAACAATAACTCTAACCTAAAAATACCTCTACCTAGCCTAACCCTATATAACTTAACAAATAGCTATCTAACCTAAACATAACAGTAACTTTTCCTAGTCCTAACCTAACAATAACTATAACTAACCCTAAACTAACAACTCTCTTTTACCCTAATCTAGCGGGGGGTAACTTTATCTTACCAAAAATAATTCTATCTAACATCTAACCTAACAAATATTCTGTCTAACCCAACCTAACAATAACTCTAACTTATTCTAAACTAGCCTAATAATGATTCACCCCAACCTAACTATAACTCTACTTAACCTAACAATAACTACCTAATCCTACATAACTTAGCAATAGCATCCTGACCAGAACCTAACAATAACTCTACCTAACCCTAACCTAACAATTACTCTACCTTCTCTACCCTCTAACGTCTCTGCCTAACCCTAACTAAGAATACTTTTACCTACCTGCCTAACCCAAAAATAATTCTACCTTAAATTAACTTGACCCAAGAATAACTCTATCTAACCTTTAACTAACATAGCTAACCCTAGTCTTAAACCTAAGGCTAAGTAACAATAACTCTACCTAACCGACAATAATTCCACTTAACCTAACAATAACTCTATGTATCAAAATAATTATACTTAGCTCCGAACTCAACCCCACTTTTTGAATTTTCCCTCCTGTTTGCCATTTCTCAATTCCCTCCTTTTTTCCTTTTTTATCTCAACCAAAACCTTAATTAAACATTAATTAGGTGAAAAGAACTTATTTGGTCAAGCGGACCACAAAACCTAATAAATGAAAAAAAAATATACTTAGCCTTTAACCTAATGTAACAATACCTTATCAATAATAATTCTACTTAAACCTTTACCTAACAATGACTCACTCTAACCTAGCAATAACTCTACCTAACCCTAATCCTACCTATCCTAACCCATGTGAACCCTCCCCTGTATTATGAAAATGGTACTCTACCTAACCTGATCTAATTTAACAATAAATCTACCTAACCTAACAATAACTCAAATAATAATAATATTTTTTTCCAGAACATGGTAGAGATGAGCAAAATGATTCCTAGTGATTCCAGAGAATGAACTCTGTTAATTACATTAATTGCTTTGATTGTTCATTCAAGTTGTCTGCCCAATCTCAAATACTGTTTGTGTCTAATACTCAGAAGAACAACTTATTGTAAAACATTTTGTACCTCAATTTTAAAAATGCTTGTATAATGTACATTTATTAAAATAAACCACAGAAGCAAAAAAAAGTAGAAATAAAAAGCAACAAATGAACATTGAATTAATTGTGTCTGAAAATTTCTCAATATCTATGCTTAAAAGAAGAAGAAAAAATGTGAAATCTAAATAATTCCATGTATTGAAAAAGTTTTTGAGCATATAATTATAGGTGAAATAATAAAGTGGCTGGGAATTGGAATCATAAATATGATAACTATGAGTACTGCACGAGAAGGATCACTTAATAATCTTCGAAATTATGGTTTTAATGAAAGGATTGAAGCTAAATATGAATCAATTTAAAATTACAATAACCATATTTTTATACAGTATGTATAAACATATATACATTACACTTGTATATGTATTTATATGTATAAGTTGGAAGTTGATTTTAGGTAAATTTTGCTTTTGTCATATTTTCAGTAGAGTAAAAGCTTTACATGTCAACGATTTTATTTATTTTTTTAAAATTCTTTTAGTTAATATGAAATGGCATATATTACATTGTTTCTTTATTTTTATTGAAAAAATAGTTTATTTTTAAAATGAGAACTTTTGTGTCAAACGAACAGCAAATTGTGCAGTTATATTAACATTTTAAATGTAAACTGACTATGCAAATGCATTTTCACATCCTTTGAAAGGAGAAACATAATTATAATTATAATAAACATTATTATAATTAATTCAGTAGAATTAAAAGAGTATACGTAATCATGAGGAATACAAGGCAAATAGAAGAAAATCTTTGATTATAGAGCAAAACATGGAAATTTAGGTTAGAAAGTAATATATGACAATCGATTCTATTGTAGATTAAAGATAAGGATATTTATTTTGAAGGAGATGAATTTAAAGAATTTATTTTTAACTTGTTCTAAAGAATGTTTCTGACAGAAAAGACAAGGTCAGCAGACAGAAGAGAATTCAAGATTAGAATGGGCAAGGGAGCAATAGAGTTGTTTAAAGGCTATTATATTATTGCAATTATGAGCGTTGTGAGAAATAAACCCTAGGAAGCTTAAAAGATTTATTTACTATCGATGAAATATGTAGTGAAAAGGGTGTGACTCCTAACTCTTTAATATAAAGTCCTGGCTTGATCTTAACAGCAGTAGAATGTCGATTATGGAGTACTTTCAAAACAATAAAACGATCATTTATCTGAGATGTGTGACGGCCTGATCCATGCCTTCTTGAGAAACTTTTGGCATCTTGGTAGTGATGGAAGACCCTTCGGACAGTGTTGTGGGAACGTTAATCACTCTGGCCACAAAAGCTTGACTTCTTCCATCTTCCAACAATGCTATGATTCTAACCAAATCTGGCTCACTTAAAACTATTACTCAAAGAAATTTAAAACTTAAAAATGGTACAACATAAAAAAAAATCAAACCACTGGAATGTTAGAAAGAAGCTTTACAAAAAAACCAACTAAGAAGATAATGACTATTCAAAGAGTTATTTACAAAATCCAATTCTAAACACAAATGAGAGATTTTATTTGTGTTTTATTTACCCCCCTAATCCTTTAAAATGGACCAAATATTTAGACGTAACCACTTATAAAAAATTAATTTATTTTAAAAATACCTTGCCTTACTTTTTAATTATTATTATGAGTAATCAGACTTTTTGTTGTTATATAAATGTTACTCACTGGAAATATTTGTTTTCTATATTGTTTCTTTAATTTTGATAATTCTTACTATTGTATACATACTTAACATTAATATTTATTTTTAGTGAATATTTCTCTCTTATTACTGCCAAACTCTGGCAGACGGCATTAGCCTTACTTTGCATATTATTCAATTTGTATGTTTATTAAGTAGTATCGGAATAATTACAAAAATAAATGTAGAATGAATAAATAAAATTAAAATATTAATAACAATGAGTAGTGAAAATGAAAGTTTTTTTTACTTTACAGCAGCAGTCATTGTGTTCTCCACGGACATGCTGTAGCTATGAAACAAATGCTAATTTATACACATTTAATTCACAGTTACTATCAGTATCTAATTTTGAATATTTAAATGTGAGGGGTATGCTGGAGTTTGGGAAGCCCCGGTGTACATATTGAATTATTCAAATACAAAACTAATTACAATTAATTTAAGTTTTTAAATTGTTCATATGAACAAATTTTTGACATCTGCCCTTTTAAATAGATAAATATAAGTTTTTAAATTGTTCATATGAACAAATTTTTGACATCTGCCCTTTTAAATAGATAAATATAAGTTTGAAAATCCAAGGAACCTGTTAACATGTAGATTAGCCTTCCACTTTGGTCACCGCCCTGGAGGGGGGCGCGTCGACGGAAATTTTCGGCTAGTCTAAATTATTGCAGTAGTAATCCACAAAACGCAATATTCGGTCGCGTTTTAAAACTGATTTCTGTTGAGAAAAAAAGAAGAAAAAGGTTCGAATGAGAAAGAATAGAAAAAGTTAAATTAACCAGGAACCGGGTAACATTGATCTTCTGTTTTGATTTGGTAGAAACCAGCTGTTTCTGCGGAACAACGAACATCGGAACAGTCGAGTCGAAATTATGTAAAGAGCCGTGTCCAGTTTTAAATCCCGATTTTGTTTTCGGCCGGTAGCTGACTGTCAACGGATCGAGTCAATTCTCTGGGACGATTTTCATTTGGCTGTTTTTAAAGAAGAATCCGCCCTGACTTTCGACCCCGGAGGGAGTAACGTGCCATCCGACTGCCGATAAATAATTACACACCGATCGAATTATTTATTTTTTTTCTTCCGTTTTCTTTTGTTTTTTCCCAATTCCCTTTGGGATTTGTCGACTGTTTTCAACGGCGAATTCAGCAAAAGCAGCCCGGCTCGACGAAAATGAAATGAAATTGTCGTCTGTTCGTTCGAAAAAGGATGATGCCAAAAGGACCGTCGAAAAGGACTCTTTCGTCCGAATGTGTGATGTGTAAGTAATCAATTAACTGTTTTAATTATAATTTTATTCGATAACGCTAATAATCCGCTTCCGATGGATTTCTTCCGTCCCTCCGATTCGTAATAAAAATTCGATACCCTTCTTCGAAAACCCGAACCTTCACGTTCGACTGGAGTTCAAAACGAGACGAGAAAAACTTTTCTTGTTTGTTTATTACTTTTTATCGTTTCGAGTGGCTTGGAATAATCGAACCGTCGATTATCGTGATTTCCTGTTGACGGAAAGAAATTACAATCATTTGTAAATTTTACAATCACAAAGGGCAAATTGAATGAATAACTTTATTGGCCATCAGCTGATCCAGAATTGACGAGATCAAGGAGGACCAGTTTTTCAATGTCAGTATGTTTTAACACATTCTTATACTTAATTAATTTATTGGAATGGAAAACTCTTTATTATGTGTAATTAATCATAATTTTAAAAAATATTTACACCTAAATTTACAAAAAATATTCATCCTATCATTAAAAAATAGGGACATCCTATTCCACCCAATAAATTCTATTAAAAACATGCTTACATCCCAGAACATAAATAATATTGAGCTCTAAAATCAGTCAATTATTTGATTTGGAGTAATGTTTATTTAGGCATATTTTTTTACACACTCTAAAAATGAAATAGTAAAGGTGTTTTTCTAATTCAAAATGGGAGGGGGGAAAGTGCAATTTTTGTCAATAACATAAAATCACTGCTCAGACTGCTTCAAAAGAAACTATCTTCCTTCAACTTCAAAAACTAAGAAACTAACTGGTAGTTTGCTCTGTTCATAAGCGTAAATTTTGATTTGGCCTTCAATTATTGAATGTGATCAAATTCAAGTTTTGGCCATTACAATATCCTTTTGGCTGCTGTGTTTAACCTTATTTTATGGTTGCTTGGCCTTCAGCCCGTCACAAACATGTCTTTCAGGTGCGTTTGCATATGAGAGTTTTTTTTTACTCTCAAGAGTAAAACTCACAAGTGTTAAGGTCTCTGAGAGTTCTTGTCGAAAGTAGAGGGAGCATTCTCCGAGAGGTGCAATGGTTGCATCTTTCTCACTAGTGTAAACGTTTTACCGACGCTGTTGGAGAGTACTCAATTATTTGTAAAAAAATTGAATTTGCTGGAAGTAAAACGCCAAATACAATAAAAAATGAACCCACGAGGATTCTTGTATGTAATTGAGAGCTTAAACAACTTAAAAACCTTGTGATGGAGAATTTAGCAACAGACTTCAATTGTCTGACCCCTGCAATAAATCGTAAGTCAACCATAAGACGCTCACGAATAGAATTGCTCCTCCCATTGCAGTCTTTTTTAAAAATTATGGGCCCCACTAATTTTACCAGCAATACAACTTCAACACTTCAAAATCTGCAAAAATTCTTGAATTGCTAGGCATCTTCAAGTTCCAATTTCCATCCTACATGCCCCAAATACTACCCACTTTTTTGTTTTTGAATAGTTTTTTCTTCTTTTTTTTCCCAATAAGCACAAACTAATAATTCTTCTCATTTCCGCTTCTTTTTTTTTATGTTGAAAAATCACTCTCAGAACTGTCCAGAGTGTGTGTGTGTGTGTGTGTGTGTAAACGGTGTGATGTGCACTCGCGAGAGTTACCAAGGAGAGTTGCTCTCCGAGAGTGAAATTCGCCCAATTGAGAGCTCTGGCTGTGAGTTCCATTCATGTATAAACGCACTTTTGAAGGCTCAATAAGCTCTTCAGGGCCTTCTAATGGTCTTTGTCACATTTGGAACAAGCTCTTTGGTCACACTGTATTGCAAGGTGGGACTGCTCCATTCAAACTTCGGAGGGAGCAAGTTACCCTCAGCTATACGGCGGGGGTTTCTCACTTGGCCATCCCTTAGCAGGTGTGATCCTTAGACATCGGTACAGCAGGAGGAATATACGAGCAACTTCAGACCCAGACACAATTTCTGGGAATTCGCTTCAATGAAGCTTTAAGGTGAACAAGGATTACACAGGGAATGGTACTTGTGCCGGACAACCGGATGACTGATTAAGAATAGGTCATTCGAGGTTAACACATGAATTATTACTTTGGAGCCATAGCCCGCATATTTGTCAAGCACTTGGAGAAAGGTTGGTATCCTACTTAATTGAAGGAATGACATCTATATAGAAAGCGTTACGTCACCTGATATGAAAATCGTGCTTCAGCACGGGAGCGAGTATTTGAGTCCGCTGTTATGATTTTTAGAGGAAATAGGGCTCTTTTACTGTATATAGTATTTTATAGATAATCTTATAGTCAACTGACTCATGGCCCCTGGACTCCAGCCAACAGTTCTCTCGGTCAAGGACCACTACCAACAGTGCACATACACACAGTCCCAGTCCCAGCTTTGATCCATCATCTCAACGCTACAAAAACAACACCGGCCTTTCTCAGGGCCACCAAAAACTCCCAATCACTAAACAGATGTTGACTAAGAAGAATTTTTTTAAATGGAATGCAAACCCATTTTTAAAAAGATTGATAACTGGGAATAAAAAGTGCCTTTACAAGAATGTTTAAAAAGAAAAATCGTGCCGAAAACAGATCTAAATTTTGGTTGGATTGGATCTTCTGCAACCAAACCATTAATTATAGCATATATTGCACACAAACAGAAGTACTTCTGCAATTCATGTCGAGAGACGTGTTTGTGGAAACCCTTCAACCTGTCGATGAGCTAAAGGGCTCAAAATCCGGATTGTTGCGAAACAACTTAATGTGAGTAGGAACCATCTTTTTTAAAAAGGAACATCGAATTCATCTGACCAAAAGCTTGAGAAATTCTGAGAGGGATTAAGAAAATTAGGAAGAAGGCAACAGGCAGTAGGACAAAATGGTTTATCATTGATTAAATTTGTTTATGAGTACATGAAATTTTCATTGAATTTACCATTTAAAAAAATCTACTGACATTCTACAAGATTGGCTATGCTCGAATGTTTTCAAAAAAAAAAAATTGAAAGTTTGGTTAGAATTTTAGGAAGTATCTGTTAACCCGATGTGGGGAAAAATCAAGTTGAATTAAGTCTTAATTAACAGCTCTTACATAAATAAAGATCAAACAAGAAGGGATTTCACTTTCTTGAACTTTTTCAGCAAAGGACAAAGCGACAAGTTTGTAAAAAAAAAATTATTGTGTAAATAATAAAAAAAGCACAATGGAGGATTTCTCTGTGATGGTAAATAATTATCAATGGAACAATTTCTTAATTTTTGAACTCTCCAGGATAGAAGGGTACTGATTCACGTAGTACATTTGTCTTATAATCAACAACCAACCTTAGAAGCCTTACTTGTTCATCCAATCTGTACAATACAATTTAAATCCAGTACAATTAAAAAAAACTTAATAATTAAATTTTTATTACAAATTAGCCGATTTTATTTTGCTTGATTGCACTTTCTTTTTTTTTTTTCTTCTTTTTTTTCTTTTTTTTTCACGAATGATGTCAATTTATGCAAATCCAAATCGTTGAATCAGCACATAACCGATTTTGCTCCATGTAAGCAATTTTATTTATTTATACTGAATACTTTCTAAAGTGGAATGCACAATGCATGATTTTTAGTTAGGATGAAGAGAATTCATTGAAATTTAGATGATTTTTTTTAAGAAAAAACAAACTAAAATGTAACAATTAATACCAAATATTTTGTGTCTTTTAACAAGAAGAAAAAATTATACAATATATAATCTGGGTATATTATTTGTGTTGGTTTTATTACTGTTGTATCATCTTTTGGCATGATTAAAAATGCAATAATAGGATTTATTATATAATAATTATACATATTAGGAATGGTGTTTATGCAAATTATAACATTTATAGTGCAGCTAGATAAGGACCAAAGCATTGCTTAAAAATGAAAAGTGTCTAATCTATATTTTGTATTACTATTATTTAAAAATTAATGGATTTTATTATTTTTGACATTTCAGAGTAAACTATATGGCTCACTTTCATCCACTGAGTTAGTAAACAATCATGTTAATTTGATTGTTAATTTACCATGGCCGGGAAGGCAATAATGACATGCAGGCCAAACTCACATCCTTTCCAGGTAGTATTTAACAGTATAAATTACCATATATTTAGCTTAAATAATATTAATTTCAGGAGAGGACATTAAATCTCGAGCAGCCTGTAAAAATTGGCAGGTCCGTTGCACGCACTCGACCTGCTCCCAACAATGCACTATTTGATTGTAAAGTCCTATCCAGGAATCATGCCATGATTTGGTATGCCAATGGAAAGGCACGTACAACTTATCTTAATTGAAAACAGCGAATATCTGAAACTTATTTGGAATTGTGTTGCAGTTCTTTTTACAAGATACAAAGAGCAGCAATGGAACTTTTGTTAATAACCAAAGGCTTAGCAAATCAGGTGATGAAAGCTCTGCACGAGAAGTCTCCTCTGGCGACATTGTGCAGTTTGGCGTAGATGTCTTAGAAAATAGCCGTAAAGGTGAGTTGTTGTAAGACTGTGTTTTAAGCTAAAAATATGATAGATTTATTTGAACTTTCAATGTGTATTTCCAGTTACTCATGGATGTATCGTAGCAATTTTGAAACTCTACTTGCCTGATGGTAAAGAAGCAAAAGCAAGGTAAGTCACTTTTTATGTAAATGAATAATATAATGATGAAACACGCTAAACTATGTCATAACTTGAACAATTCTTTATAGTACGTCTACTTTCATATTAAAAACAAAAGTAACAATTCATTAGGATGTAGACACAGTATAAAATGTCATTATTGTGTTTTTTCATTCTGTGGGGGACATTACTAGTGACGATGGTCTCCTCATCCACTTTGACCTAAAAGATTTATTCTTATTTATATCCATACCCCAGAAAGCACACCCTTTAGGAAGGGAGGTAAACCATTTTTTTTCTACCATTGTATATAAAGGATTTGCAATTTTGTGCAACATAAAACATGTTAACAAATATTCGCTGAAGTGAGCTTGGACACCTCTGGACCTTCACAGGTAAATTTTTAGGATAACTAAGACCTCCCAGGGAGAGGCCAAGCTGACAATGCTCCTTTTTTTCTTTTTTTTAAGATAGTTCTACTGACGGATTTTACCTAGGCAACAGACAGACTGGGAAACTACAAAGACTTAAGTCCAAAATTATTTTTGACAGTCAAAACTAAGCTAACTCTATACAAGACATTACTGCAACTACTTTAGACATACACAGTGGATCCAAGCCATCCAATATCCACTCATCCAGTCTTTCCAATCAAAAGTCCTCAGACAAATTGTCAAAGCTCCTTACGACGACATTAACTAGACAGTGGCCTCAACATTCCTTTTGCATGTGAACTAATCATCTTTCAAAAGTTCCACACCGAGCTTTTATTCATCCTAACCCTACTGCCATTCCTGAGAACCCATGAATGCCACCTTGAAAGACGATGGACTTGAGACCTCGTCGCCGCTTAATCCCTCATATTGAGTGCCATTGTTGAAAATTTAAGATGAGAATTTTCCAAGCTTTTTATTATGTTTGCTAGGTTACTTTTGTATCAAGTATATCTGCTTCCTCTGATCTGGGACCTTAGCATTAGGCTATTTGTAGATCCCAGGTTTTTAGGATATCAAAGCAGTTCTAGACAAGTTTTACATTGATCTCATTTGGATGGCCCTTAGGCCTGGCTATCTGAAAGTATTATTATTATTGCATCCTTGAGTTGTTCATTTATTTCATGTGCACAGGTTTCTATGGCTAGCAGTTTGTTTTCTTTTATTTTCATTTTGCTCAGGCATCCATTTTATTTAATTATGTAAGTTGTTAGTTTTTAATTTTATTATGTGTTTTGCAGTGAGTCAACTACAGAAGTGGTCTTTTCAAATAGATTAATAAATGTTGAAGATTTGTATGAACTACACCATTACTTGCAGGTATGAAAATCTACTTGGGAAAAAAATATTTTTTATAATTTTACATTTATAAAAACTTGAAATTTTAGGATGCAATTCAACGAGAACATCTCCTTGAAACAAAATTGCTAGCACTTCAAGCAATTTTAAACAACATTAGGAAATCTGCCGATCAAGGATGGAAAGCTTTGATAGCAGAAGACAGCCTTTTAACACGTGTTGAAGCACTTGAAAATCAGCTCCAGTTATATTCAAAGGCAAGCGATGTCTGATTTAATTAAATTTCTACAATTTACATCATAAATTAATATTTTGTTGTAGACTTTTGGCCAGGACAAATTGAAAGAGGACCTCCAAAAATTACAAGAGGACAAAACTAATTATCAAAGTACAACTAAACTATTCTTGAAAAGGATTTTAGATGAAAAACTTGATACTGAATTAAAATGTGATGAGGTTAAAAGGTATTTATAATAATTATAGATATCATTAGTGGAATTAATACCTTTTATTATGTTTATTAATTTTCTCTCTTTTTTATCAGGTCTTTAATAAATTTGGAAACACAGTGCAGTAACTTATCAGAGGAACTTTCCAAAAGCTATTGCCATATACAAGATTTAGCTCAAAAGTTAAGCACCCAAATGGTACGAAATGATGAATCTGTGGCAAAACTACAGGTGATCGCTTTTATTTATTTATTTTTAATATATGTAGAATTTATCTTTCTATCTCACTCCATCTGTTAATTTAATCTTGGGTTTGTGGCAAAGATAAATCAGACCTATTTGCAACCAATCCATTTTTACTTCTTGTCCAGATATGGATGCACCCTCTGTAAAAAGCATGAAAGAAGTAGTTATGTCTTATTGAGAAGTGCCTGTTAAGTATGGGTTATTTCAATTAACCGTATTATTTTTTTTTAAATGGATATTTGATGTACAGGGTGTCCTGTGAACAGACGTCAATTCTTCAGGAGATTATCCTACTTGTTATATTGTACTAAAAAGTTCCTATTGTCCAAAATCTTCGAGATACATCAATTTTCAAGTTACTTTGACCTTTCACTTTATTCCATAAAATCCCCCGAAATCTCATGCAATGTTGATCCTGCTGTAATTTTGATTATGTATGTAAAGAGCATTGAAAACCAAATAAGATTCTTAACTTTTTAATAGAACCTTAAGCAAATTAAACACAAAACTGCTTAGAAGAAAAAAACCTTACGAGTTTCCTAAGTTCTTGCTTAAAGTTTAAGTAAGATTTTCTTTGTTCTGTGAATACTGAAAGATATATTGTTTACAAAAAATTTGCACTTCAGAAAATGAACTGTAAACACATGTACTTAATTTCTCAAAAGTCAGTTATCACCAGTGTAAAATTAACATTTAATTGCAAAAATTGTTTTTTTGGCTACAAACGATTCAAAAAATTAGTCATTAAGAATTTGAAAAAATGAAATTAATGTAAGTAAACTAAGACTCTTTGGTAAACAATTGAACAAAATAAAAAGCTTCTAATTTTTTTTTAAATATTGTATTACATTTTTTATTTATGAGAGTTCACAACAGCAGAAGTCATATCAACCCTCGTTGAGTGTTTATCAAAAAAAAATTTAACATGTCAGGTTCTAATGCAGGAACCAGGGCTCTTTACTTTACAGTGATGAGCCCCTCACATATACTACTGAGGCCACTGATGCCCTTATATATTTTATTTTGCAATTTCTATACATTGANATATTTATATTGAGGGGGAGCAAATAATCAATATTATTCTCCCATTCCCTTTTACTGTGAAATTTCACTACCTACTCCTTGGGATGCCTTAAGGGATTGTAGGGGTGGATTCTGTTGGACAAGACTTACACAAAACTATTTGAGTGATGGGAGGGTTTATTGTGAAACTTGGTAAATTTTTGAGGAATTCATTTTTGATAAATGGGATTTTAAAGGCATTGTGGAAGGTAGCATTTGGGATCTATTGCGGCGCATTTATAATAGATTTGAGGATTTTAGATTGAAAGGATTGGAAATCCTTTGGTTAACAGTTCTGATTTTGCATCCAAAAGTTCCATTCAAGGCAGACAGCACTGTACCCAAACACAAGATTTAAAGACAACTTAAAAGAAAAATTGGATGACTATCTAGGAAATCCAATCCTTCCAAACAAAATCCTCACTTACCTACTGATTATGATTAATTATCAAAGCTCCTTACAATGTTACTAACCTTACTATTCACAAACACCACAACATTCCTTTTATCAACCAAACCTGTGTTCTCAGGGTGTAGGTCTAAAGTGTTGTGACCATGAGGGGGGGACATAATTTTGTAATATGTTCCTATGTTCATTCGAACCTTATAAGTAAATATTATACATTGAAATGTTGTAGGAGCTTGAAGAGCAACACACCGAGGCGCTTAGCAAATTGGAGAATAGGAACCAAGAATTGGAAGAGTTATTGGCCAGGCAGCAGCAGCAAGTCACAGTATGTTTTGACCGGACGATTGTCAATAATGAAAAATCATCTTTTGAACACCAGCCCAAGTCTATAGGTGAGTATATATGCTACCAAACTCTGACTATAATACAATACAATTTACATTTCAGGTGATATCGAGATCGATGAAGACACTAATAAAGAAAACAGGATATCAAATATCACCAATGATGAATTGCAACAGTTAACAAATTCTTTAGAAAAAGAAAGGAAATGTAAAGAAGTTCTTGAACTCATTATGGGTGAGTTTAAATACGTTTTTCTTTAAATAAAATATAATTATAAAATTTAAAACTAAAATTAAATTTCCAGCACAAAGAGACTTGCTTCAAGCAGAAAAGCATGCCCGACTTCAACAAATAAATAGTCTTCAAGGTAAATTAATTCAGCATTGTTTACGTTTAAATATTATTTAACTATATTATGTATAAGTAAAAATTACATCCTGAGGGAATTTTATATTTAAAACACTCATATATTTTCTCCCTATATGGAAAAAATTGAAGCATAGATAAGTAACCTATATAACACTAACCCTAACTAATCTAACTCAACCCATTAAATTATTGGTAAGTTGAAGATATTTTGTTATATACATAAAAATTGATGTAATGGTTTTTTTACAATTCTATGATTAACTTAAGTGGGAATGATTGTGGATGCCATAATGTGGGTAAGAGGTAGATAAAAGTAGGGCATCCTGTGGATGAGTAATTTTTCTGAAACCACGGTCGTAATTTGGCAAAAGTTTGAGAGAGAGGCCAGATGGTGAACAGAAGGGAGAGAAGAGTAGTTCATTCATTCATAATGAGGAGGATGAAAGTGTATGAGAAATCCACCGAGGCTTGTTACTCATTTGATAAGACCTCCCCAATAAATGCCGAGAGTGTCCAGCCAGGGCATCTAAAGGCAAAAAACATGAGGGAGAGAATTTGTCCCTGGGCCTGGTGATAAAGTACACTTTTTCCCATAAAAGTAAAAACATTTGTCAGTGCTTCTTTACAAACTTCTCTTTGGAATGGGAATTGACTTCCCAAAGTGGGCCTTACACACAAAAGATATGATGTGCCGATGTCTCTAATTTCTTTTGGCAGATTCGGCATTTCTCTGCTGTGCTTATTATTTTTAGATGGTAGTTAAGTGGCCAATATAGAAGCCTACGGTTTTCCTCAAATCTTTCCTGCTGAGAGAGAGGTGTTTCTTCACCCTTTTTGAGAAATTTAGAAATTTTTTAGCTTGCCTCATACCTGGTGCTTTTTGTCCAGTGCTTGTATTTTTCTTTCTTAAGCTATTTTTCCTGCTCAAACTTGTAGTTGTGGCCCATGGATGCAAGGACCCTTTAGTTAGTTGGTCAGCCTATTTGTTTCCTTCTATACCTCAATGCTACCCACTGAAAATCTGGACAGTGGAGATTGCATAGCATAGAGTAGGGTAGCATTGCTTGTAATCAAGCAGATATGCACGGGGGTAATACAATCTTATGGAAAAATGGACTTTGAATTTGCATTGGGTGATTCGAGTAGTGTCGCCTAGCGTTGTATCAGGTAAGTGTGTTATCTGCTAAGACACATTAGTCTCCTTATGCAGTATTTTTAGCCATCATACTACAGCTCCATATGGTGCTAGGAGTTTCAAGTTTGAATGTATAACCAATCGAGTGTCATCAGATTTTCCTTTTATGATTGTTACTATGTCATCTACTATTAACCATAAAACTCATTTGTTGGATAGTATACAGGGTGAATTGCTACTCGTGCTACAAACTTCTCCAGTAGATTCTTCACCCTAAAATGAACAAAAAAGTTCATATTGTCCATGGTCCGATTCTCAACCATTTCAGAGTAATTTCGCTTTTTATCGATTTTGAAAGATATCACGTCCTGGCGTCGGAAAATCGTGATATCTTTTAATCTAAACATTTCTCTTAAAATCTATAAGCACCGTTGAAATCCCCGTTAATTTTTAGAGAGAATCAAAATCATAATTCCATTGAAATTTTTTAATTTAATTTAATGCCCATTTAGTATGTAATGCTTAAGAAGTTTACAAACAGCTAGAAGGTCAAGGAAGAAAGACCCAAACGTTTTGCCACCTTCATCTTCTTATTGAAAAATTAACGGGGATTTCAACGGTGCTTATAGATTTTAAGAGAAATGTTTAGATTAAAAGATATCACGATTTTCCGACGCCAGGACGTGATATCTTTCAAAATCGATAAAAAGCGAAATTACTCTGAAATGGTTGAGAATCGGACCATGGTCAATATGAACTTTTTTGTTCATTTTAGGGTCAAGAATCTACTGGTGAAGTTTGTAGCACGAGTAGCAAGTCACTCTCAAACATTAGCAATCCTTGAACCACCATTTTTTCTCTTTTTGTCATCAACATCTTGGTCTCACAACCACTAAATAAGAAAATGACGAGTGCGTTGGAAGCGTTATTAAATCAGGTAGTTTTCCTCAAATTTGCTGCCTTCTGAGACTAAAATTAGAAACTCTGGATTACTTTATACACTTTCCGATTTACACAATTTTCCACTCTTTTTGTAGTTCTGGCTGAAATAAAACACAAAAAATTAGCCCAAACATTTTGCCACCGTCATCTTCTTATTGAAAAATTAACGGGAATTTCAACGGTGCTATTAGATTTTCAGAGAAATGTTTAGATTAAAAGATATCACGATTTTCCGACGCCAGGACGTGATATCTTTCAAAATCGATAAAAAGCGAAATTACTCTGAAATGGTTGAGAATCGGACCATGGACAATATGAACTTTTTTGTTCATTTTAGGGTGAAGAATCTACTGGAGAAGTTTGTAGCACGAGTAGCAATTCACCCTGTATATAATTCCTGTCTTGCCAAAATAAAAAAATTAACACATTTTCCTTTTTTTACAATAATGCTTTATAAAAAATTATAGATGACTACGATGAATATTCTTTGAAAAAACAAGATGTGGAGGATGAGTGCAAAAAAGTTGAAGCAAGCATTGAATCACTCGAAGCGCAAGTAAGGAGCTCTGCTGACAGCTTTTCATCAGAAACTTTATCGGTCTGAGATTGTTTTAAGAATCTTTATTGTTTATTAAATCTTTATTATGGTTGTTATACTCGTATTAATATATTAATTTCAGATGGATGAAAAAGGAGAGAGCCAAAAGTTGACCAACGGGCGAGACGAATCTCTTGAAGCTAAAATTAAAGAATTAAAAGGTTCAATAGAAACTATTTTAGATTTTTTAAAATCTAATAATTCTTGATTAAGTAGATAACTTTGTTACATATATTTTTTTAGCTATTTATTATGAAGCTAAAGCTAGCAAAGGTACATGTGAAAATAATATGAGCATATTGAAAGAAGATATAAATCTGGCGAAAGATAGCCTTAGTAAAACATCTGGTAGTTGTCTAATCACTCAAGAAAAATTGGAAGTAAGTTACATAGCATAATGATTACCACATGTAAGTGTAAAATTTGTCCGATTTTACAGAAAGCCCAGAAAGATTATGAAGAATGTTACCTTATATCGCAATCTTTGACAGAGCAGGTGAAATTGAAAAATCAGTACATTTTTATGGAAGGGGCAGAACGGGAGGACTTTCAAAGTGGCGATGGACCTCGAAAAGTAGTTAATGAAAATTCAGAAAGTATGTTGATGAGTTTTACATTAAGAATAATTGGTTGCTAAATTAGAAATAATACGATTTTCAGAAACTTTAGATGAAATTGAACAAGTTGGCAAACAAAACAGAAATGATTCTTCACATGTTCGAGCTAAGATGATCATGTCAGATGTTGATTCTGTCTGTGAGAGTAATAAAATCCTCGACGAATTACATGTCGTTCAAGAAGAGTATCTTTCATCACAGAAAAAAATAGCAGTCATGGAATCGGAAATTCTTAAGTACGTTTTTAAGCAAAAATTTAATTTAAAAAAGTTCTCATTGTCCTATCTTGTCATACATTTTTCATAATTACAGTTTAAAGGAAGATTGCAGTCGGCTGTCATCCGAAAAGGAACTTCTCGAAACTGAGTTTCAAGCCATAAAGTCCAATCAAAATGTTTCTTCTGATAGAGATGAATTGTTTGCCAAGGTATTGTATTAAAACATTTTTTCCAAAATGTATTATGCCTACAGTTCTTAGTTGTTTTTTTTTTCCAATTTATTGTAATTTTCAGGTTACCACTCTTGAAGAAAAGTTGGTAACTCTTGCATCCCAGTATATGAAGTGTAATGAAGAACGTGTTGCTCTGTCTCAAAAGTTGGCATCTACTTCATTAGAATGTGATGCTTTGTCCCACCAATCTTTCTTTGTGAGTTGTACATATTTATTTACTTGTTTTGAAAAACAGAGATAATTCATATACCTCAGATACTCAGTTATTCACCTTTATGTTATTATTTTTAATGGAATCTACTTACATGACTTAAATGGCAGAATTGAACTTCAGCTACAAGAGAACTAAAAAACTGGTAGACAAACATTCAAAATGCAGTTAGTCACCGATAGGTGGCTCACATTCATGCATAACACAACGGTTATGTTGTTTATTATCGTATATGGTAGCCTATCTGCTTATTGCATAACATGATGCAGATTAATAATAGAATATAAAAGAAAAAGAAAAAAATCCGTCCCTAACATAACAATAACTGTTAACTTACACTTAATCAAACTATAATTTACCTAGCCCTAACTTAACCTACAACAACTCTACCTATAGAAATAGTTAAAATAGAGAGACAAATTCATTGGATTAATTGTGAATCTAATGAATTTATATAAGTATATCACTCAGCCTTAACTACTTCTATAAAGTAAACTTGTTGTTAGGTTAAGTTAGGGCTAGGTAGAATATTGTTTGGTTAAGTAGAGTTAGGAAGAATTATTGTTATTTTAAGAAGGGTCAAGTTAGGTAGAAATATTGATAGGTTAAGCAGGGTTAGTTAAGGTAATGGTTAGGTTATATGGGGTCAGGTAGAATTATTGTTTCTCGAGAACCATGGTTTTCATAAAATAACTCTACCTAACAACTAACCCTAACCCTACCTAATAACAATAAATCTAGCTAACCTTATTCTAAGCAAGCTCATTCCTCCTAAATGCGAAAATGGGTGCACTAAAAAATTGTATAATACATTTAATATATTTTTAATGCTTGGTTTCTTTACTTGTTTTGAAGCTATGTCATATACCATATCATTATTCTTAATATTGGGTATGAAAATTATGTCAAAGTAAACTAATCGTTTGAATAATTATTTAATTTTTTTCAGAATTTGGTTTTTGCATTGCCTTGTATGCTGTTGTTTTTGGCTTTAGCCATCATATCTTACCCAACACTGAGTCATTATTTGGGAACTGCTGAGTAAGTTCCAGAGGACCAACCATTATCAGAATTTATCAATAAATGAATCTTCAATACTGTGATTATACTACCTGAATTAACATGCTTATAATAGTTTGATAAATTGTATAAAAAATAATAATTCTTATTTATTAAGTTCTGTTTACTATTATGTTATATATTTTTGTAAATATGCTATATTATTTATTCATCTGTATAAACAAAAAGCATTGCCAAATTGTCATTACTTGACTATCTACTATATTTATATGTGTACTAATATTAAATAACAGATTAATTTATAATTCTATAATTTTGTATCAGCTTATATTTTTAGATATTAGATGTTTTTCAGTAGTACAAAATGGCTCCATCTCAGTTTAACTGACCACTGATTTTCTTTTTCTTTTTTTAATTTGCAATTCTTTGCAAAATGTTATCATTACCTACTATTCTACATTTCATGCTTATAAATTGTTTTCTTTTAAGGTGTGCGAATATTAGCATCGAACTTTTGTATTCATATCCTGTATTGTCATTAAAGTTATAATAATAGAGGAAATACAATCAATATTTTCTTATGAGATGAGTATATCTGAAGTTAAATCTTACAATTGTATGGATTATTTTTTTTTTTTTTTATAGTAAATGAGATGAGCTAAGTAAAGATTAAGTATACTTTTATTGTTATATACTATTCTTTTCATTTATGTTGTATCTTATGATTAAGAATTTGATTTATGAAGGCAAATTCACTGTTAAAAATTGTTGATGCATAGGGTGTAGGCTAATTGATTATTATTATTAATTATTATTGATTGTACAATAAGTGATAATTGCAATTTGGAAAATCACATTTATATTAACTTCTAATAATAGTCGCAAAATCAATTATTCGTGGGTGTAAAGTGTCATTTTATTTATGCTAAATCAAAAGTATATTTGTTTATTTTTGAATGAAGCTTGGTCATCCCGAATCATTCAGGTCTTTCTTGTTGTGTGCATCAGTATATTTGTTTGTGTAAGCATTACTTTTTTTTTAATCCCTCCCTAATATTCTAGTCAATGAAGACATTTCTTTTTATTTATTTATTTTTTTTTTTATATACATTATCTGAAGAAAAAAATTATAAATAATACTGTTACATTTTGATTGGCCTAATGTTTTTTAATTGTATATAATTAGTTTCATTTACTGATAATGTTATTAACAATAATTCAATCCATCTTGTATTTCTTGTATCCTTTGGTGTCAGTTTAGGTATATTCCGTTTTCTTCACACTCCATGTATATAATTGCTCACCATTGAATACATAAAACATGCGAATTTGTTTTGTTGGATTTTTATATTTTCTCAAGGCTGAAAGCATTTATGTTGCGAATATACAGTTATATATTAGTATTGTTGGTTATTTATTTTCTTTTAGAACTAGGGTTTTTTTTCTATTGATAGGTCGAACTGTAGGAATCCCTTGTTATCAATGTGTAGTGTTAAAAGTTAAGAACTGTTTCGTTTGTACATTGTACATGAAAATGCCATATGTATAAATTAGTGATACAGACAATATTCGCACACCACCTCATGTTAATAATATCACAACTAATTTTATTAATATTCGAAAAATTACTTGTGAATATCATTAGCCAGAACCTACTGTAAATTTTAAATGTATTAAATGTAAATTACTTTTGTGTTACTGTACTTTGTACCGGCCATAACTGAACAAATTAAAATTATGTATAAAATTTTTTTTTTTTTTTTTAACCCTTGCCATATAAGACAGGATCTTCCTCAGTCCAGCGGGACAACTGTTTTTATATGATGACATGAACATTCAACCATTGACTTACTACTACCAGCTATGTTATATCCATCATTAAACATTATAATTTATTTAGAAATTTCAAGGCTGACACTTTTGGGCCAAAAGCCCACGTATGTGTTCAGCACGTAAGGATGGTCGATGTGTCCCAAAATTCGAAGGAGTGACAATTCCTTGGCTCTATATAGAGAGCGTGTAGGAATGAAAGCCACCCAATATGAGAATTGTGCTTGAGCAAGACATCAATTATTTGGGTCCCTTGTTCCAATGTTTTGATAAGGCTGTTGTGGGCAAAATAGTCTGGGTTCCTGAACACAGGTCTGGCGGGTAATGAAAAAGAGGACACAATCCAGCCCTTGCTAAAAATTACAATATCAAAAAGTAATAGTGGTGTCAGTGGGTTGGATCAGCTTCTATCGTCGGGCGATTGACCCTCAGGAGGATCTGAAGAATAGAAATCCACTTCTTTATAAGTTATTTGCTATTTTTTACATTTTGTCGGTTTTAAATGGTCTTGGTCGGGTTTTGTAACAAATTTCACTGTAAATTGGCCAGTTTTCAATTATTATATAATTTATATATTTATTTGGGACATGTATCAGATGCCTTTCGGATCTCCTCAAGTCGATCAAATTGGTAAAATTTCAATTAAATTCTCAAGAAATGGATATTTTCAAATTCGGAAATATAATTTTGTCTGATTTTTTGTTGTAATATAATGTAACAAGAAGCTATATGATTGTTCTATATTCGTCAGTTGATCTGTTGAGTCCGTACTGATTTACTGCCTTGCAATAAATCCAATAATTCAATCTTTGAAACGGGTAACTGCTAAATTATTTAATTAACTACTTTTTGAGATTTGACCGACAAAGAAGATTTTTTAAGGCAAAATGAGAATAGTTTTAAATAAAAGCTTACGGAGAGGAAGTGAAGAACTGAAGACCTAATGCCAGATGCAACCTTATGATGAGAAAGGCGGGGAATGGACAATGATGCAAGGGGCCCCTGATACAATGATACAAAAATATAACATTGTTCAAATCTTTTTTTTATAAAACATTAACCCATATGAATAATCGCATATTACAAATAGTAATAAACCAAAATTATTTTCATTGTTTAAACGGGAAAATCGATGTGCTGTCTGATCATTGCCCGTTTGATTAACATTCTCCCGGCAGTACAAAATTATACCTAAATTTTAGAAATAATTAGACCGAATTTACAAAAGAACGTTCATGAATATATGTTTCATATAATTTTTAAACGTTTATAATTGTTCTTTATTTCGTTATGAATAATAATATTTATTTAGTAAGATTATTAATTATCAGCTGGCGGGATGATTCCCGGCATTCGCCATTATTCTTCCCGGCGGTGAATCATGAACATCTCATTTTCATAAGGTATTTTATATTTTGTACATTTTCCAATTTTAAAATAGTCTAGGTTTGTATTTTCTGTTGAATTTCATTGGAAATAATAAATTGATCTGTTTTCAATTATTGTATAGTTCGAAAATTGATTTATTTGTGTCTTGTATCAAATCCCTTTCGGCTAGCAACTCCTGTTGGGTCAAGTGGTAAAGACGGTAAAATTTCAAATAATCTCTAAAGAAATGCACATTTTCCTATTTAGAAATAGAATTTTGATTGATTTAATTGTTTTCCTTGTTGTTGTTGTTATAATTTGTAACTAGTTTATGACGATCATTCTATTTTCATTAAATGTAAGCAATCTATCCGCGGGGTCTTCATTGGTCTTTACACATTTAGAAAAAATGAAACAATTAAATAAACCACATTTGTCATACATTTTAATAATGAGCCATTCGTTTTTTAAGTTTTGATTCGTAATGGTAAAAAAAAAAATTTTAAATCGGTGACAAGCTGACAAGTGGTCGATCATTTTTTCAAAGTGTTAGTCAGGAGTATGAAGTATGGCAAAAAAGGATCTCCCACTTAATGACAGCCCTTGATACAAAAACTGTAAATGTCAGCCTACTTAGCTGCTTACAAGTTATTAAATAAAATAGGAGTGTTTTTACTGAAAATTATGAGCATTACGTTCAACCACAAAACTAAAAAAGTGCTTTTATTCTTCAAAATTTAGAATGTTTCCGGCCAAGGAAAGTAAAATACATTGGTTTACCGGTAGAGATCCAGCAAGAAAGTACATATATATTTGAAGGGTACGGGAAAAAAAAACCACTGTCATTTTTTTAGTGAAATCGAAATTAAAGTGCCATCTCGTTGCTCTTCAGTAGTATATTACAGAAAATAAACTGCTAGGAGGGGGTAAAAAAACAGTCTTGTCTAAGTGAAAATGAAGGGTCAAAATTTGCTCTACTGGAAAAAAAGTCCCAGTATCTCCAAAACGATACCAAAGAATAATGGATGGGTGGGGGTGGTGCAAGTGCGGAGGCGGAGGTGCAAAAGTACACATTCTCCATCAAACCCCATGATGGTGGAGGGATGGGGGAAGCGAGCGCAGATGTGACCCTTTCTACTACTACTACTACTACTACTTCTAGACAATTAATTAAGGTTTTTAGTTGAGATGAAAAAAAGTTAATGGCACGAGAGGGATTCGAACCCACGACCTTCGGCTAGATACGCCGCTGCTCTACCACCTGAGCTATCGTGACCTCGATCCACTCGGGCATCAACTCCCCATCTCAACCCCACCTTATGAGTTTTCCCTCCTTTTGCCATTTTTCAAATGTCGTGTAATGAAATGTGTGAAAACTCTGATAACCTTAACTAATTGTCTTGTATTAATTGGTCAAGCGGACCACGAAAATAGTGAACTACTACTACTGTTATCACACTGATTCACATTCCTGGGACCATTCCTACGGAGCACCCCCATCTTTGTCTACTCGTAGGAAGGTATCATTTTGAAAAGTTTGGTATAAATTTGCAGAAATATCCCTCTAGTCCAATTGCTCTAGATGTTTGACATTTCTAGGAATGGGTGACTTTTTTACATTTTGTTATCACTTATTACTATCAATATTATATATTTTAAAAAAAATTATTTATTTATTTAATGAATGAGCATTTCCTATAGCTGATACAAAATTTTACGAATGTCACAGGTTAGAGAACTATTTCAATTCCTTCCATTGCTTAATTAAATGTTCGACCAGCTAATTAAGACGTCATAAATGTAAACCTGGGCTATGGTGCCCTGCAGATTTCCCAGGGCGTTATTTGTGGCCCTCTGATAGACTGACGGGGCATCATTACATAGCCCAAACGGCAGTGTGAAATATTCTATCAGTCTGGCATTTAGTAGAGTCAAGCTGACACGTCCAAGCAGGTAAAGTAATTTGAGACACCAAGTTGATCCAAGGCGGTCGGGGATTAGTGGCAGTAGAAAGACATCCCGTACCGCATTGACATTTATTTAACTCTTTATCGTCTACAACGAGTTAGGGATGGTTAGGGTTAGTTACTTTTTTAAAGAAGGTCATTCCTTATTTTGAAAACGTTATTCTTTTCTACTGATGTCAATCTAAACTGCTCAAAATTGAATAGGGATATTGTCAATTTTGTAGTATTTACTTTCGCCTAGCATTCTTATTTTATTTTTATTATAAATTGCATTAAAATTTATTTTAAATTATGTTTTTTACTAAAGGAAAATTTATTTAACGGATTTTGGAAAATAAAAGGTTTTAATTCCTCAATTTTGTTTATTGGAATCCATATTTTTTTTAAGCAATTAATACCGTGTATAATGTGCTGTTAGCTAAAACCTCTGTGCACCTGTTAGGCATACTGTTAATAAGGTTGTCACTCATTTGATAAAGAATTTCACTCCATAGATGTTGCAACGCTGCACTCAGTTGTTGCAGGTCAACTGGGGAGGTGATCGAAAAGCCATCTCTGCAACGCATCCCACATATGCTCAATGGGACACTAGGTCTAGAGACAATGTGGGAAGGGGTAGATGGGAAATTCCCAGGTTTTCTAAACACTGATGAACAACAGGCCTGGCATTGTCATCCAGAAATAGAAAATTCCTGTCAATGAGATCCCTGGTTTCGAGGGATGTATTCCTCGATAATTTCTTGGGCATAATGGACTGCGGTGAGGTTGTTTTCAACAGTATGGAGTCCAGTTCGTCCTCCAGTGTTAATCCCAGCTCAGGCCATTACACCGCCTCCTCCAGTGAAGGGGGCACAAACTGGGGCATTGTACGCATCCCCTGTTCTCGGAAGACTCTCCGGCGCACTATATAGACAATACCACGACTCATCAGTAAACACAACAGCATTCCTGTTGGTGTTCTTTTCTAGGCGCTCACTGCACCATATTCTCTTGAGTTGCTGGTGGCGGACTGTTGCTGCACGTCGTCTCAAAGGGGCTACGATATGTGGCCGACTAAAGGCCTTATGTATATACCATTTACTCAGGTTGGACTCGATATCCATTATAAATCCTGTATAAACTAATAAATTCGATTCGGTGTTCTAGAACAATTCTTAATGTCTACACCCTACCATTATACGTGACGTACCTGATTATAAATGTTTTGTCTTGTAATTTCTTATTTGAAACTGCGGTGGTTGTGAAGACGTCTGATTCTTACATAATTGGTTCTGTAGATCGGTCGTTTCCCTTTTTCCTAAATGGCCACACCAAAATGATCGAGTCACCCTGCTGTCCTCAAGATAAAAAAGCACGACTTGTTACTGTGGTCGATTTGTTGACTATGGTCTAGCAATGGCTATTGAATAGTTTAAAGTGTTCTGAGATATCGTCCGCAACAATCTACGTGTATGCCAGGTGATGCCATGCTGCTGTGTGCTTTTAAACTGAGAAAGACTTTCTTAATTTCTAAAGGAAAAAACAACAACAACTTTCTAAAATAGGTTTAATGTTTGTCAATGTCTCTCTATTTTAATATGTTTTTCATTATTTGAACGAGGAATTGTTGTACTAATAGAAAAACAATAGCGTACTCGTTCGAGCTAATTTCATACTTTGACCACCAAAACTTGAAATGATAGTACAAAAATAGTGTAGAAATAATTTGTGATGTTTGCCTCAACGAAAGAAAAGGATAGATCACACCATTACAAATAAAATTATCATTTAAATGCATAAAAAGATGCAGCCTCATTGTTATTAGAAGCAGTAATCAACTTTTATCGTGCTTTCTGTCCCAGAAGACGAACCAAGGAAGCCAAGCAGGTAGTACGCATACAGTAACGTGGAAGAAACGATGAAAATGCGCTAAATAGGCAAAGTTTCAAACATCTCCTCTTCCCTTGTTTTCTTTATACTTTTTTAAATATGTACTTTAAATACCAAGGAACTTTGTAATGTAACGTTTGGGTAGAGGGGTCGAAGTCAAGTGTGAATATGGGATTTGGTCATTTTTAGTTTATTTTTAACTAAAAAATTTTTAACAACACACGAGTATGGAAATTTAAACAATCAGTGTTTGATAGGCAACTAAACGGCTAGTAAAATCACCCAATTGTATAAGAACGGAACCACACTGCTCTCTTTCGGGCTTTCACTAGTCACCATCGACACTTCCTCCAATCTCACTAGAGATACTTTGATCTGAGAGCCGGGGATGGTAACCCTCAATCCATGGAGCACCACCAGATGAAACAAGAATTGAAGGGATATGATATATTTTATCTATAAGTTTGATATCTGCGAAGAAGTTAAACATTTTATTTATTGGCGAATTCAAAGCCTGGTTAGAAGGGTTTCTTCTTTTTGGTAAAGTCTGTAGGAGGGAGGATTCTAATTGTATTACTTATTTTTGTATTGGTAGGAGCTTATTTCCTGTATAGGCTTGGATGATGCTTTGAAGAAGAATTTTTTTTATGTTAAGTTAGCTTCTTTAACTGCTGTTGCTCAAGAAGCGATTAAGTCGTTAACCTTAATGCATTTGTTATAATTATGGGTGCCCTTGAAAGTGAGAAAGGAGTAAATTACTCGAATCTGAAAATGAAGAAGATCGTGTAAATAGAAACTATTGCTCTTTAAAAAGAGATGTTGATATTGAGTAAGTGAGTAAATTATACTACTCAAAATAAATAAAATAAAAACTAGATTATCTGAAACTGAGTTTTCAGATGTAAGCACACGAAGGGAGCCGATCACTTTTTGAACATGCAAAGGTTCCAGATAAGGCTAATAGTTAAATTGATTTTTTTTACTTCTCTCCAGTCCTTCCTTCCCATTCGACGGTGCCGGAGAACTTGGTTCCACTTTTACTTTATCCGTTCCGTACCTGTTCGGGCATCTAAAAGCTTTTACAGGGCCTCTCAACTCCTAAATTCCTCGAACCAAGAGCGAATATGGCGTACTCTTCAAAATACTTTAATTTCTCTTTGAAATATTTCCTCATTTGTGTGTTGGAAAGAAAGATATAAACATGACGAGGAAATTTGTTGTTGATCACACAGGTTGCACCCACGACTTCGCATACTTTTAAATATTATGTCATTTTTGTTGTTTATGTTAAATACTTACGAACTATCAGGGTAAAAGGAACAAATTTGAAAATAAGACATGTTATCTGACTCTTTACTCTTTGGTGCATATGTTATTACCAGTTCATAAATACCACAATTTTTAACGGTTTGACAGTGTTCAATACAATGGATGTACAATCGAGATATTCCATTGTTTTAGTATCCAGTTTTTATAATCGACTTCATTGTAATATCACTCTATTTCAAGAGTACAAATTTCCTTCAGATGATTATAGTTTTATCGGGAGAAAGCAAGGAAAAGACCCAAATCTCGGACACTCTTTCCTATCTTCACTTAAATGTCAAAATGCAATAGCAATCCGCTCGCGCCGTGGTGGTTAATAATTGTATGGTGAAATGATGTCGCTTCTGTGTGCAAATGACCCACGTGCGGTATGGTACCATGGATGTTTTGAACATTGTTATAGACTGTTTTACAGCGACCACCTCGCTTAACGGACAATTTTTACATTCCCTGGCAAAACAGATAGTATTTCTATATATTTTAAATAATGGAACCCCCTCCATACCGGCCGCGGACATTGCCGTCAGTACGTAAATACTAAACTAAAGAGTAGGCCCGTTGCACCAAGTTAGTTTCATTTCAGTTCAGTGAACTGAGTACAACTCAGAAATTGGCGTTTTTTCTCAATTTATCTTGAACAAAGTTGAAATTATGAACGAGGTTCCAGTGAACCCGGTTTAAACCGTGATTGGTTCAACGGACCATGCTACATTTTTTTAAGTTCCCTTCCTCCTCACGTGACCTGTTCTTTATTCATTTGAAGATGTTTTGATAATCGATTTTTGGGTCTACATGTTTAAACGCACAAAAAACAGGATGTATGAGAAGGAAGTGGATTAAAAAAAATCATAGTTTAAACTAGAACTTCGTTCAGAATTTGCACAAGTTTTGAAAAAGGAGCGTTCTAATCATCTCATTGAAATATGTAAATCGTTATGTATTATGACTATTTAGAGATGCGGTCTGGTATGATGTAGGTTTAGAAAAACATTTTCTTTATAGTGCCAACGTTTCGATCTTTATTGAGATCGTTTTCTGGGCCTGGGATTTAAAAAAATTGTTTAAATTATACAAATACATATAAGATGTGAAAATGAATTTGTACAATGATGTACACAATATAGAAATTATAGGTTTAATCAAAGTATTTGTATTCACTCAAAGTTTTCTGTGTAGATGTGTCACGGCTGTGTGTCGTATTGAGAGTGTTGATGAGATATTAATGTTTTTTGTTTATATATGTTTGATTTTGAAGTGGTGGGGAAAGAAGTAGGGATAGAGATTCATTTTTCTATGAGTCAGCTTCTTTGAGTGAAAGGGACCGACAATGGAAAAAATGGGTAATGGTTTGTAGTTCGGGCCTAGTTAGACTTCCAGGATTATTATAGACAGGATTATTAGGGTAAGGAGAGATAAATTGTTGGACATTTAGACTATATAGAATTGTTTGATGTGTAATGATTGTTTTATATGTTGTATTATATGTTTTGTGTGTTATATGTATGTTATTGATTTTCAACACTTCAATATTTCTAGAACAAATCGATGAATTTTTGAGTTTCTAGTATAATTTTTTTTAATGGAAAAAACTTTCAAAGTTTGTGAAAACACACAAAAGACACTCAAAAATTATCAATTCATTTTGGAGATATAGAAGTTCTCCGTCAGAACTCGATAATTTCCATTTATATTGGCAACCCTCCTTGTAATAAGGAGAAATTAATTGAAATTAATTAAATTAGGAAAATTAATTGAATGAAATGTGAAAATTTTGTTGATTGTGTTTAAACCTTAATTTTAAACAGCAATCAGTTAAACGATAGTTGAAGTTATTTGAAATTCAAATTATTTCAAACTTATTATATTTATTAATAATTAATTGTTTAAAATTAAGGTTAAAAACATCAACAAAATTTTCACATTTTATTCAATTAATTGCTGCTGGACAATTTCTTTTTCAAATGTAATGCCCTAATTTTTCACACATTTGAAAATGATTTCCATTAAAAAAAAATATACCAGAAATTCAAAAATTCATCGATTCGTTCTAGCACTCGATAATTTCTATTTATCTTGCAACTGGTTATAAAATGAAAAAAAAAATGAAAATTGAACAAAATGTGCAAAATTATATACTTTTTAAACCCCAGTACTCAGTTAGACGATAAATTGAAATTACCGAGTTCTGAAGGAAAATTTTTATTTCTGATGGAGTTTTCAGTTTCTGGTATATTTTTTAAAAATATTTTTTAATGGAAATGACTTTCAAATATGTGAAAAAATGGGGCATTAGATTTGAAAAGTCAACCAGCCGATTCTACAAGAAACATTTTTGGAACCATACTTAGTTAAGCCATCAAATAGTCCACTTAAAAATGAAAGGCCCATATCTTTTATAAAAACTAACAAAGTATATTACATGTCCGTACGTTTCTCGGGTGCAATCATTGTAAAAGTTCGTCTGTTTATTTTAACATACAAAAATAAATAAATAACTAAATGAGTTTGTGGTGTTGCAAATCTAATTTTTGGTCATTGAGAGCCATTAAGCTTTAATGTTTGGAAATACCAGAATTTTTCTATTTATTTTTTCACTTGCTCTCAAGTAGGTAGCAAGGCAATTTTCCTGAACGATGTACCACCAGTTGTACTTTTTTTAAATTTAATTTTGCTGCTTGTTTTGAAGTGTGAAAAACTCATCACTGCAGACTTCGTCGGCCTCTGTGCTTCCGAGAAAATATTGAAGAGGCTAGGACCGAGGTGGTAGACGCGCAGGTACGCATGCCGAACCGCCTCGAGGGAGGGGATGACGAGCTTTTCGACGCTTCCCAGCTCCGACGCCAGCCCGAGCCTCAGTCTAACATTAGCTATGGTGAAGTGACTGTGTGCAATTCACTTTTACTGGAAAAAGTACACAACACTAAAGGTTTTTCTTCTTTTAAAACAAGGACTATAACAATTGAAAAGAACAGTTTCCAGGATTCTAATCGGTGAGTATATTTTTATGTTTTATTTACGCGTATTTCGTTTTTCTAGTAACGTACATCCCACTCTTGTGTATATGAAGTGTGCTTGTGCATGCGTGTGAGCGTTTATAAATGTAAATAAATAAACAGTTTGTTTTTAAAAATTTACTATTGTTGTTTTCATGAGGTGATGCTTAAGTTTTTATCTGTTTTTACTTTAAAATCGCTTTCTTCTGAGATTATTTTTTACTTGATGTACATGTACAAGATTTTTTTTGTTCGTCGTGAAATTCCTTCAGTACCCGGGTGGATTTTTAGTCCCTTACTTGTGAGTTTCGAGATCCGGTCGGGCTTTGGCGGATCGAAGAACTTTTGAAAATTAATCCCACCCAGGTTTTGGGGAAAAAACAAAATGGTGGGGCCCAGAAATTGAGCCGGATGACAGTTTCGTCTCCTCTTTTCTCGGCGTGCACGCCTTTCACTCGAACGAAGACAGTTTCGTCGGAACGTTTCTTCCGAGTCGCTTTTCATCGCGGCTGTCGACGGCATCCTTTTTCTCAGCCTCCTCGCCCGTCCGGCCCCCCGTCCGCGTTGCCGACTCGCGCGTTAAGGCTCTCCGTCCCTCTGTGGCCCAAGACAATAGGAAAAAAAAAACAACAAAGGGGCGGTAAAAGAGTAAAGGGGCCGACGATACGGACGACGACAGATTTCCTCCCGGTGTAGGATGGATAAACGAATAAAAGCCGGACCCCCCTCTCCTACACACGAGTTACAACTTGTCTGAAGAGCTGCGTTTTTTTTCGAAAATGTAAAAATAATACTGTTTAGATAGAAACAAAAACAAAAAATGACAAGGCGTCACCGTCTCGCCCACGGTCGTAGCAGTAAAAACAAAAACAGTAAATTTAAACCTAAACAGGACAAGGTCTAAATGTTTAAATAAAACAAAAAACCTTATTAAAATGATAAAAAGTAAATTTAAAAAAATGAAAAACACTGAGTGAAGTGTCTAAAATAATTGTTATGTGGGTTGGTAGGGTGGGGGTTCTGTAGTGGAAGGGGGAAATTGGCTGATGGTGAGGGGGCCGGGGTGGTGATGATGGTGCGGGCGGACGGGGGGCGGCCGGACCGTGACGATCTTAGCCCCTCGGTTGAGCGTGATACCCCTAGACTTCGAACGCCGCTCGAAAATAAAAACCCCACTTCATTTACGCTTTTTCTCATTTTTCGAGAGAAAAAAAAAGGTCTCAGGCCTCTTCACTTTTATTTTTCGATTGAGTCACATTGGCCGCCTCTACCTCACCCGCCGCCCCCGGCCGTGTTTTTTTTTATTTTCTTTTTAACACTTTGGTCACGTTAAAGATGGAAGGCAGAGCAACGTGGTTAAACTTCTTTGGATACAAAATGTCTTATGGTTTGCCCAAATGAAGTTTTCTTTTCCTTTGCAGATTCTCTACTTCGGGGGGCGCTTTTAATTTAACTACGCGCCTTGAAAATTCGATAATAATCTGTACCGTTGCCCATTTGAATTTTCAATAGATTCACTTTTTCCCAAACAATCCATAAGTTTGAAAAAATAAATTATTAAGCCTAAAAAGCGGATCGAAACCATCTTTCCTTTTAGATGGGCTCAAAATTAAATATTTCCCGTCAGATTGACGGCGTGGATTGATGAATTCCTAATTTTATTATATATCGATTGCTGTCGCAGTTTTGATTTGAGGCGTCCTCCTGTAGACCGATTCTTTTTTGTCAGTGCGTCGAAGGTCGTTGAATAATTATTATTGTTCAATTAATAATACAGGCTTTATTTATATTGAGATATTGCTAACAGACACTGTAGTTTTGTGAGGAAATTATTTCTATCACTTTTATAATTGAAAAATCTTAAAGTAGGTTTTTTTCTGGAGTATTGCACACTTTATAGTAAGATTTTAGGCTTGGAATCCCCCCTCCCACTACATTTTTTTCTGTTCAGATCAACGGACAATCGTAATAATTAACACATCTGGCCAGACAAGCGTGAATAGGCGGACCAGAACTGTTCCCAGCTCGGCTGACAGCAGAGCGTTGAGCATAAACTCACATTCAAGTTTAATTTATTAGCCTAGGTCATTGTTCAGTTGGAATATAAAGAAATTTTGAGGCGTGCGTTGCTCGATGAATTTTTTAAATTTTCTTTCTTTTAGTATGTTTGAATGTTTAAGAATTTCGAGGGTTTAAGTTGATTTCTGGACGTGACATTTTACTAACAAAACTTGAAGTAGAAAGATTTTTGTGGAAAGGGGGCGTTGTGGCCGCAACGGTTTAGGCGTTGGCGCGGCGCTCATCGCTGTTAGGTTAAGGTTCCGAGTTGAAATGCAGTGGCCCAAAATTTAATTGTATAAAATGTGCAAATTTGTCTTGATTTTTTTTTATTCTTAACTTTAAGCAACAAGAAACAGTTACACTCTAAATTGAAATTGGGAGTTCTGAAGGAAAACGTAAGTATCCTCACAGAACGAATCTATGAATTTTTGGTACTGGTACCATTTTTTTTAAGAATGGAAAATACACAAAATGTATGAAAAAATTCGTAATTAAAAATTCATAGATTCGTTTTGGTGACATTGAAGTGTTCCTTCAGAACTCATATGATTTCAATTTATCCTGGCCCTGCATTCCAACTCGATATACTTATAAATGGGCTTTTTTTTAATAAATTAACAAGGGCACACCGAGATGTTTATATAACGAGGCACGTAGTAGAAATGCCCTCGTAAAAAAAGTAATAAAAAAAGACACTGGTGTTCATTTTATTGATCAGAAATAACGTAATTGAGCAGTACGCAAGTAATAGTTGTTGAGTGTCAATTTTTTTTCCGAATCGACTTCGAAAATGATATTATTCAGGTCGGAAGAGCGTGTGCTTTGCAGTCGTGCCGTTGAAATACGGTTGTTTGTTATCTCTGCAAACGGAATTTAATCGTTTCGATAAGAACTCCTTTTTTTTTATATATTTTTTTTAATAAATAAGCAAGATAGAACTGGTAAAAATGAAAGCTTAATTTCAATTTATTTTCAATCTCAATGGTACATAATAAGATATTGCCGACATGCTATATTTGATTCGAATTAGATGCAAACCAATATGAATAGTGGACAATCCCCCCCCCCCAAAAAAAAAAAAAAAAAAAAAAAAAATCGTTCCAAGCTGTATCTTATCAACATGTAAAATGTAAGCAAAATGTAAAAATAAAAAATTATTTTAAGTCCCTCCAGAACGAAGTAAAAACAGGAATGGGACATGTCTCAAAAATCAATACAAATCGACACTTGAAAGGTCTTCTAATTTTTTTTCTTTCTCAGTAATTAAGTAGGTTGGTTTTACATATTGTATTTTTATATGAGTGGGGTAAATGAGTTTTTATCTATTTTTGATTAATATTTGGACAAAAATGAAAGTTCTACTTCATTTTATATTTAGTTTCAATTTCAATAGATACTCGATAGAAGAGATACATTTGATTCTATTGGGTTGTCCGGAAAATAATGCAGGATTTTGGTATTAAACAAAAAAAAAGAAACTAGTTACTTTAAAGCAATGTTCTTTAATCAAAATAATTTCCCATACTCTCAATACATTTCTCCCAACGTGTTGGTAACTTATTAATTCCGTCTGAGTAGAATTCAGAATTTTTAGAATTGATAAAGTCAATAAATGCATTTTCCAGTTCCGTTTGATTTTTGAATATTATGTGTTGTAAGTAGTGGTCCAGGTGTCTAAAAAAATGGTAGTCAGTAGGCGAGAGGTCCGGAGAGTAGGGTGGGTGAGGCAAAGTTTCATAGCCAAGCTCCAATAATTTTTGTGACGTTACACGTGACACATGTGGTCGAGCGTTGTCATGCAACAAAATGGGCCCTTTCCGATTGACCAAAGAGGGCTTCATTACTGCCAATTTCTGATGCATGGTATTAATTTGGTTACAGTATGATTCAGCATTGATGGTTTCGCCAGGATTTAAGAAGCTGTAGTGTATTAAACCAAATGAAGCCCACCATACCGTAACCATTACCTTTTTTTGATGAGTTGGGGGCTTTGGAAAATGTATTGGAGCTTCTCCTTTGTCGAGCCACTGTCCAGAACGTCTAGTGTTATCGTAGAGAATCCACTTTTCGTCACATGTAACAATTCTGGCCAGAAATGGGTCATTTTTGTTTCGACAAAGAAGTGATGCACAAACATCAAAGCGCTGATTTTTTTGGCGATCGTTTAATGAGTGTGGAACCCAATTTTCGAGTTTTTTACTTTGTCGTTTTACTGACTTTGAGTTGCTCTGCAAGTTCTCGAACAGTTGTTTTGGGGTTTTCTTCCACCACTGATCGCAGAACATCATCATTAAGAGAGGAAGGCCTTCCACGACCTTCTTCATCTTCAAGGCTGAAATCTCCCTCCCGAAATTTTTTAAACCACCTTTGCACAGTGCACTCATTAACACAACCCTCGCCCCAGACTTGGTTAATGTTTCTAGCCGTTTGGGCTCCGCTTCGGCCGAGTTTAAACTCGTAAAAGAAAATCGTACGAAATTCTCGCTTTGACATTATAAGGATGACTGAATTATTTCCAAGTAGCGGAATGCTACAGAGGTAAACAAACAATATCATTTGGAAGAGGATTAATAAGTGTTGACATTCATACAAATGAGTAATCCTGTAAACGTAAACAGAATATTTTATATAGATTTTTTTTAATGAAAACTTAAAATCCTGCATTATTTTCCGGACAACCCAATAATTTGATGCAAAAAATATAGAACGTGGACAGTGTTTTTTTTTTATTACCTTGAACTACTAATCGACACAAGGTGGATCTTATCAAAATATAAAATGTTTTTGGGCGTACAAAAAAGTATTTTAAGTCCCTACACCCGAAGTAAAAAAAAGAAAGACATGTCTCAAAAATCAATGCAAATCGAAACTTGACAGGTCTTCTAATTTTTTCTCTCTCTTACATAATGTATTTTCATTTGAGTGGGGCAAACGAG